GCGGGGTTCGATCTTACGTCTGACGGTACGGATTCCTAACGGTCGGGGACGGCCAGACCACGCATCTCCGCAACCACCGGAAGAAGTTCTCATGCTCTCGACAGTGCAATATGTCTAAAGAGAAAAACTTTAGTTCATACGGAAGATTAACGTTTTCGGTCTGGATGACTGAAGTTTTTGTTGGCCGTACGCACTTTGGCTAGTGATGTCTCCCAAGACTTGGGTTATAGAAATCAAGTTCACACGGAAAAAAAGGGTAGTCGACACAACCAGCGGCTAGTTAAAAATGCGCCATGTTCAAAAATGCTCCTCACATTTCTTTAAATGTCCAAATTGTGAAATATGTTTATTTGATTAAATGCTGTGTATTTTGAGATAAATGTGTAATCCAGGAATAGGAACAATTTATTTATCATTGTATGAAGCACATTTCTACAAAGAATTCCTTCCCACATGATCAGAGCATTATTTTGTCTACAGTTAAGAAAATAATCAGAATTTCAGTCTAAATAAGATTATTTGATTACTTGCCTCGGCATTTAACGAAATACCTGATTTGACTGTTTGCCTTCGACAGATGCACAAATAAAACTTTAAACCTATTTTTCTCGATTCAAACGAGACGCGCCTCTGTTTCCTTTACTACATTTGAGATATATTTTAATGGATGATCCTTATAGAAAATTCACTTATTAATCAGTCCGTAGAAAATAGTTGTCCTTGAAATTTGGCAACTCTCTATCGCGAACTGATGGTCGTTGTTTCAGAGCCCCTCTGGAGGCTGGTCTCTGCTCGGGAATCAGTCTGCAAATTGGAGTCGGATGCTAAATGAATCCTGCGGATCAACGTACGAGGCTTCATTATAACTACATTAGCAACAATGCGTAATAATTGTTTTCCATTTTCCTTCCTTTGCTCTTTTTCTCGTTTTTCTCGTGTAGGTATCTTCATTATGACTCTAAGCGCTTCTCCAATGGATATACCTCCCACCGTTGCCAAAATCTGCGTTGGATGTTTTCCTCCAAGCATTCTAATTTATAGGAACGTGATTTCTACGAAGTAACATTTTGTTTGTATTTGTCTCCATTTTATGATCGCTCAACAAAAAAGAGTACCCATCGTTTGAGACGCATTTTCCACATATTATAACGAATACTAGTACAAGAGCGATATTTTCCGTAGGAGAAAAAAGGGGTGAAACGACAAGTGGTGGTTTGAACCATAGAAATGATTTAACCGGAATCTACCAAACTGTAGACAGATAGATAGAATTTATTCATGCATACAGCTTACAGTAAAAAGCTGTGGCACACGTCAAATTTACAATCTATGCAACAAGTACAACAATTTTAAGGAAAATGAAATTATACAGGTTCTTCGAAAAATTCTTTTAGACTATGATACGCTTTATTTCTGAGTTTTATTTTCAATTTCAATTCAACTGTATTTCACACTGTCTAATTTTCTCTAATATTTCAATTTCTGGATGAAGAACTAAACTTTTTGACGGCAAAATTAACGATGACCAAAAAATTTGATTAAATAGACCAAAAATTATGGTGGTCTGTAGAGACTACATTTCAGTATTTGGTCGAGAAAAAGTGTTAGAGCCCCAAAAATTGTGGTACTAAACAATTTTTTTGGATGATTTGGGCATTTCTAATTAATTTTGGTAGTGCCGCAAAATTTGGGTTTGTTACCTCATTTATTGGGGTACTCCCACAATTAATTGGAAATTCTCATTACATCCAACAACCCCCTCTTTTTCCCCTTTTTCCCCTCTTTTTTAACGGGTGAAACCGCAGTTTTTTCATTCGAGTATCCTTTCCTGGATCCTCGGAAAAAAAAGACGCTTGGATCTAGAGTTAGACTCTTGAAAACAATGACAAGAAAAAGTACTCTTGATTTAATCGGATTTTTGCTTAAATTAAAAGGTAATCCGCTTAAATTAAGAGGCTTGGTTCTCGATCGAAGCAAAAATCCGATTGAATCGAGAGTATTTTCTCTTGTCAATGTTTTTAAGATTCTGGACTCTAGATCCAAGCGGCTTTTTTTCCAGTGTATACTTAAAAAAATTATATTTATTTCCGAGTGATTATTTTTCATGTTGAACGATAGTAACACCTTATCTCCACTTCGTTCTCCCTTAAGAACTTAAACCCAGCGCGAGTGAGAGCCTCCAACCTGTCAACAGCGTATCATCAGTGAGCACGAAAAACTCCACTCGCGCGACGGTGGTACCCCCTCCCCCCCCTTCCAGCACCCCCGCGAGCGCGACTCAAGTCACCCTGTCTCGTGGCCGGAATCATAACCCGCGAACCGCAGAACAGTAATTTGTATTTTCATTCGAGTAATTACGGCCGTAAGTTCAAGGACCATGGTTGCCGTCAGTGGCGTGGCGTGAATTGCGATACATCGATTACTATGCCATTTAAACCTATGGAAAAGGATCGATAAACAGGGTGTTCGCAGCGAACACCTTAATAATCGATTCTTTACCATAGGTTTAAATGGCATAACAATCGATGTATCGCAATTCACGCCACGCCACTGGTTGCCGTCCTTTGAGGTTTCCCGCGAGGTCTTCCGGCGGGAGATGAGAAGAAAATTGGAAACCCGATTGGAGAAGATGAGACTCATATCCGCGCAGATTCGTGCAGAGGCCTCTTTCTTGGGTAAATTTTAGGATCACTTCTTTTGTTAACTTTACCGGCCATACTTTATCAAAAACTTCGTAAAACTTTTTCTTACCGATTTTTCTAAAATTGCTGTTGATACTTCTTACACTACAGCTTTTTCGAGCAACCGCTTAGCAAGTTTTACGGACTTTTGATCAAGTTTAGGATACAACCGAATTTGGTTGCCTAGATAACTAGATTAAGTTTTGCGCGAATGGAGAATTTGCACGAACTATTTTTATTGCTGCATCTGAGAGTGCTTTTTGAGCTGTGTTTGCAGTTCCTTTTTCAGGATTTTTTTCTGATATAGGAAATTGTAGACCAATAGATTTATATAACTGAGAAAATTTGACGCCTAATGACGTCATCAGGCGGCATTTCCCATTTAAACACATGTATTTTCAGCAAATTAGGTGATTCGGTTAAGTTTCCTCTAATAATTGTTTATTTCAGAAACCAATGATATTCTAATGCTCAGTTCACTCAATTGTTTCTTTTCAAACGTGAACTTCACTACATTTCGGACACCTGCAAATTCTCCATTATGGAAATGGCACAACCAATATAACCATTGTACCATGTCTTTTGGTCAAACAAGTTTCTATAACAATGACATCCTTCAGCGTGATGTGAAGCTCGGAAATTCTTCAATGAATGTATTTTTGTCGAACGGAACTGTGTGGATTATGACGTGAGCCCTGTTATGCATATATTCTTATGATTCTTAGGGCTCATGTCTTAGTGCACATAGTTCCGTTAGGCAGAAATACGTCCAAATGTCATAAAATCCAGAAATGATCAATTCATTGATCTACTATCCGATCTTTCATGCGAAGTGCTCAAAAAAGAAAAGATCCACCTCAAGTCGCAATGGAGAATTTGCACGCAATTTTTTTATTGCTTCATCTGAAAGTGCCTAATGAGCTGAGTTCGCAATATTTTTCATAATTTTTTTCTGACATGGGAAATTGGTGAAAAATTGATTTAAAAGTGAGAAAATGTGCCGCCTTGTGACGTCATCTGGCGGCATTTCCCATTTAAACACATGTATTTTAGCAGAATCGGTTATTTTGTTATATCTCCTCTAATAGTTGCTCAATTTATGAATCAAGGGTATCTTCGTGTTCAGTTCACTCAGAGGATTCCACTTAAACAGGAAATTCATCAAATTTCAGACCCTTGCAAATTCTCCATTATTACCTTCTCCTCATCCGATTATTCCCGCGTTTAGGTGAATAATCGCGCATCAAACCAAAATTATATGCGGATAATTTGCAATTTCGACGCGCTCTTTTGATTCTTTCCTGATTAGCTTCCTCGCGCGAGGAAAGTTTCCGAGCTGGCGCCCGAATTTATTGTGACGGTGAATAATGGTGTTTTACGGTGAAATAAAGTGGCTCGCGTGGGATGCGACCAACTTTTGTTGGCGCAAGTGATGTCATCAGTCATACTTGGGAGTCATAAAACTCGTTTGGGGCGACACGTGCAGGGTCGCTGAAAAATTCAAAAAAGGGGAGAAAATGGCGAGCTCTGGTCAACTGTTCCCACTGTCAGTTCGTCCCCAGCGAGTGGGAGTCAGCGGTCACAGCCAATTTTGTTGGCGACTCGAACGCATGTTTAAGAAAGTAGGAAAGCCTTGTCTGTCATTTTGTCGAAATTGATTACGGCTCGTTCGGTATCTTATTGTATCTTTCCGGAGCCATTGGTCATCCTTCCGTTTTTCATCGATCCGATTTCTTGCTGATCTCTTCTTCATCTCCACATTTTGTTTAAAAAAGTTGTTTCGTCGAAACAATGCCAAAAAAGACTTGCACTGAGAAAAATGTATGGCTTATTGGTTCATATGAAACACCATCAATAATTGTAAAGGCAACATATAATAATATCACACATACCTTAATGATGGTATATATACCTTAGTATGATACGAGACACCCTAGTGTGGTTCACAGACCGAGAATCATTAGTTCATTTACGACTTTAAGTAGTGTTTCATGTGAACCACTAATTGGTTTATAAAGCCATAGATTTTTCTCCTTTGTGGCATCTCGTCTGTTCTTCTTAAATTGCCGGTAAGAGTCGCAAAACACGTATCTTGATTTGCGACGTTGCACAATGTCGTTACATTGATCAGACATGAAATTTTTATATTAAAACTGCACATTTTGATATTCATTTGGCATATTATAAATTCATGGGGATGTTTATAGAAGGAAATTTTAGGACAAAACCAACGAGACTTCTTCTACGTTTTGGATTAGGAAAGATATGAACTTTAAAAGTTTTAAAAATTAAGAGGACTTAAGAAGAGGAAGGACTTACCCAGTCGGAGAATTTGAGACTATCGATGTCGTCTGCGGCGGTGATGGCTGCGGCTTTTTGCCTCAGATCGGTGGTGCCTTGCGAGACTTTTTCCAGGAACGATGAGAGCTCTAGGGCCTCTGCAACGAGGGCCCTGCATACAGCCTGGTAATGGCTGTCTGCTTGTTGAGAATTCGTCGCGCATACATGACTCGCGCAGTACTGTTGAAAAATACAAAATTAACCATCAAAAACAGAGACTTTTCCATTTGTTCGTTTAAATATGTACATCGTGTCTTGTATAGTGGAATACTTCCTACGATTGTCAATTTGCCAAAAATTGATAACAGGCTTCAGTCAGCGCTCTTTGTTTGACAATTACTGAAAACATTTTTTTGAGATATTATTTTAAGTGTTGAGTTTCTTACCCACAAAATTTGGGGTTTTTTAAAGTTAAAACCGCTTGATGCCAGTTTTATTAGCTAAAAAAGCATCGTAAAGTTTAAGTTAAAAAAAACAATCACAAAATAACGGTTTTTTAACTCAAAAAAACTGACTTTAAGTTCAGTCAGCACGGATTTAACTCACAAAAACCAAATGTTGTCGACAAGAAACAACGCTTTAAGTTAAAATGATATTTCAAGAAAAAACTTTGTCTATGATATCAGAGAAAAAAATATTCGTCACAAAGATCGGTGTGACGTGTCTCTCGTTGGCCGTATTATTTCATTCCATAAACAGAAAGTTCAAAGGCAGCACTCAAAACTGACCTGCAAAAAGAGTATCGATGGTCATTGCATAAAATGAAAAGTATGGCCGCGGAACACCGTACTACGATTTATACAACCTTTTTTTTTCTTACAAAAATTATTTTTTCACGTCGGCGACAAGTCAACGCTGTACACAGTGTGTGCCATAAAAGTTTACATTGCAAGTACGCTATTTTCACGAATTATGGCCTAGTAAATCCTAATTCTCCGAATCCAGTTTGTCACTGTTTACTATCTTAGTGTTTATCCACCAATCACTTGTAGGCTCAAGTCTTTACTTATTGACGTTAAACAAGCATTTTGAGCTGAATCTGGGTAATCAAACACACAAGAATCTCGGTAATTATCTTCAAACTTGAGGGTTTGATATGTTTACAGGTTTTGTTGGCCGACTTGCAAATGGAGGAGCATTACATGCGCTAAAACAGCTTGAAATATGATCAGTAATAAGATTTCGTTTTCAAAATGGCAGTTTTATGAGTAACGAGCTTCGAAGAGGCCACTTTTCCCGGTGAGTAGAATCGGTGATTACCTGGTGACCTCGTGAATGACTTGCAGTTACCAGGATCACTCTCAGATCTCTTTTTTTGGACTAAGGCACGGTCGAGCAATACTGCCGTGCTAAGAAAAAACGCCGTATGAACCTTCAGGCGAAGCCAAATTTCCTTTGATATAACACGAATTTTCTAGTAAACTTATTTTCCTTCCAACTTTTCAGATAATTTTGCTCGCAATTTATAGTCCCTAAAAATTTCCAGGAAAAACATCCATATCTTTCCTAAAAAATAAACATTTTATTGAAGGACATTTGGCACCTCTCGAAAGTTCTTACGGCTTTCTTCCCTAGCACGGCAGAATAAACCAGTGTTTCTCTTTCTTTGAGATTTTATCTCGTTCGCTTTCATCGCAAATTTTTGCCGCCTTTGCTTAGTTAGCAAAAGAACGTATCTTCTTTTTCAAACGAGCCCTGTCGAGTGCGTGTCTCGGCGCTCAAAATTAGTGCTGCCGTACCAAGGAAAAACGCCGTATGAACATTCGATAGTTGCCAAATTTCCTTCGATATCACATTAATTTATGTGGTAAGTTGAGTAGTTTTCTTGAAAATTTTTAGATACTTGCGATCAAATTGTGAGCAAAATTCTCTGAAATATTGATAAATTTCCCGGAAAATTCGATTTTTATTAAAAGAAATTAGGCAGCATCTGAAGGCTCATAGGGCGTTCTTCCTTAGCACGGCGGAGTGGCGCCGAGGCGTGAATGATCGATTTTCGATATTTCCTCATTTGAAGCTATGATAAAGAATTGATTATCGAGGTGTTCGTTGCAAACACCATGTCTATCAACCCTTTTCCATAGTTTTATACGGCAGATCAATCGAAATATCGCAAAGAACGCCACGCCACTGCTTACCATAAATCGAAATAAAAAGTTTTCACGTCTTTTCCGACGGAGGAGCAACGAATTCAGCGCGCACTGACTTCTCGTGCCTTCAAATGCGATGTGATTACTTTACAAGCTGTTTAAAATTCTAGGAAAACAGTGACCGGTTTGAGGCTTTTCTACTCATAGACGGCGTCATCCTACTTAAGGTGGTTAATGTTGTGGCGCCATGTCTTGACTTCAACAGAGATATGCGGTATTGCTCTGCATTAGCCTGAGATTAACATTTTTCCGATGTTGGAGTGCAGCCCCCGGAGTTGAAAGCTACTCTGCAAAAGGTTATCAACGCGGAAAAAATCAACGTGGCGCTGAGCCCTATCACTTTACATAACATAGGGCCAACTACAGGCAGTAGTGCTGAGCCCTGCAGCTTTAGGGTTCAGCCCTGCAGCTTTAGGGTCCACCTCTACAATTTAGGGTCCACCTCTACAATTTAGGGTCCCGATCTACAACTTCCTTGTCCATCCCTACTGCCTGTAGTGGCGCTATTTTACCTAAAGTTTCAAGGCTCAGCGCTAAGTTGTTTTTTCCGTAAAGTGAGGAAACGCAATTCTGAAAATGGGCCGTGAGGAGCCAGGGTGGCATGAAACGTAAGAAAGAAATGTAAGATTGGAAATTTCAGCAAAATATTTCATGAAATTTCACAAGGCTGTGAAATATTTCATATGTTTTAGGGGCAAGAGTGTGCAACCCGCACTCAAACGCACAGAAATAGAAGAAAGTCACAATTTTTACATAGTGTACATACATACATAAAGTCGCTTTTATAGCGCCGCCTCGCGCTCTGCGACGCCCGATCGCCATTGCCCCCTATCCTCCCAGAGATCATCAGGCAATTGGCACCTTCTGATCTCCTCCTCCACCCCTTGTCGCCAACCTTTCACAGGACGTCCACGCCGTCGCCTTTACATAGTGTAAAAAATTAAAAGGAGCCGGTATTTTTCAATCTCTTTCTTTTTCATGAAATATTTCACGAGAAATTTTAAGATTTTATTTTTAATGAAATTTTGCCATCCGGTGAAGAGCCATTGATACTGGCGGATTTTAAGAATTAAAAATTTCATAGTCAAACTTTTTTCCAAGTCAGAATAATCTAGAGAAGAGTCATTATGAAAGTTACCATAAAATTTTTGGGGAAAAAAAATTGGATAAAATTAGACAAAAATCCACCCTTTTTCCTAGGTCTCAGAGGGAAATTTGAACTGTATTGGTACTCACATCTAAAATCCTATTTAAGGTCCAACCGCCGTTGGGAATCTCATCGTCGCATTCACCGGCGTCCCTTTCGATTCCCTCGTCGTCGGTCTCTGCTAGCCCCCGCTCTCCTAAATCTGGAACAAAAATTACACACAAATTAAAGAACTGCAGGACGGAAAAGGGATTTTTCACTTAGCAAACTTAAAGTTTTTCACACACTGTGATTGGTTACAAGCGATATTTACATCCGCCACGCCGATGAAGTATACATTTTTAGAAAACTTTTGAAAATCTTTCCTTGGAATCTTCAGATACTTTAGATCCGTTTGCTAATATTATTCACTGTAAAATTGGAAGAAACCTAATCACAAGTTTCCAAAAAATTCGTATTTTATCAAACAAAATTTGGGAACATACAGAGACTCATAGGTCGCTCCTCCTTATTATAGAATGGTTGTAGTGACAAACAATGTAACTGCGCCATCCATCAAGTGGTTATCGCAACTACATTTTGCAATTCGGAACTATAAATTCTGGCTCATCTGAAAAAACACTTATGTGCATACGGAAACTAATGGCACATACGTTGTTTTTAAACCGGGCCAGACTTTATAATTCCAAATTGCAAAATGCAGTCCAATCCCACGGCCGCGGCAAAGGATCGTATTCAATATTGATTCGATGTTTCGTTTGGTTCAAAACAATAACCGCAAACAAAGGTTCTTTAGGTTTTAAGTTGGGAAAGCTAAAAATGAGACAATTCATAATAATTTCGCTGTTCATTACCATGCGGTATTCGAAAAAATTAAAAATCTACCTTAAAAAACTGTTCTCTTAGACTTCTTAATTGACTTGTGAGGTCATGTTCACATGTTGAACCAATCGCTATCTCACCTATTTGATGTTTCGAATATGATCTACTAGCGCTATTAAACCTGATCACGTGTTATGGCTGCTATATAATTATTATTCAGGTATTTGTTACGTATCCACTAGATTTTTGAATTTCTTGTTCATTTTTTAAAAACAAAACATTTCAGATGACGAAAGGTCAATTTTTTTGATGATTTCAAATACTTCCGAGTGGTATTTCCGATGATAAAATTCCTCATCATTGGCGGCGCCATAAAAACCGAACGTGACCGCTACACTGCCGTGTTAAGGAAGAACGCCGTACGAACATTCGAGAGTTGCCAAATTTCCTTGAATAATACACGCATACGTGAGGAATATTTTGCATGATCTTCCATGAAATGGTCAAATATTTCAGATTAAATCGCAAACAAAATGATTGCAACTCTATTATTTAAAAAGAATTAAATGAAAATAAGTAAATAGGTAGAGACATGAAATGCACAATACAGGGTTATCCTAAAGTCACTGACCACCCCTGTAACTTTTTTCCAAATTGAGATAGAAGTTTGAAACTTTGGGAATGTTCCTCGGTCTAAAGTAGCAACTTTTTGGTCCCCCCAAAATTTTGGGGGGCGGCCCCCCCTAAGGGGGGCGGGGGCTAACTTTTTTTTTCAAATGGCAACCCCCCCTTTGTGATACCTCATTCGAAAGATAATAAAAAAAGAAAATTTTTGGCGCAAACCGCAGGTCAAAATGTTGATTTTTGACAAAATGGCGGCCGGTCAAAGTTCAAAATGGCGGAAATTTGGCATCTCCGTTTTTTATCGACGGATTGGTCTGAAACTCAGAATCTTAGGGTTTTTTGGGACGAGAAAAACGATTCTGGCATCGGTTTTCCAGAAAAGTCAGTCCTTTTCAAAATGGCGGCGGTCAAAATGGCGGCCCAGAGCGAGAAGTGGATATTTAGGCTGCTTATCGTTGGATTTGCATGAAACATGGTATCCGGGGGTATTTCGGCACGAGAAGAACGAATCTTTCATTGGATATTTGAAATTCCGAAGAATTTCAAAATGGCGGCTAAAAAGTGGCGATAAATCAGTTTTACGGCTGTTTACCAATGGATTTGCACGAAATTCGATATCCTGGTGGTTTTTGGCTGGTCAAAAAGAAATCTTTCATTAATTCTTGAAATACTAAATAATCGATATCGCATTTCATCCAAATACATTGGTAAACAGCCGTAAAACTGATTTCTCGCCACTTTTTCGCCGCCATTTTGAAATTCTTCGGAATTTCAAATATCCAATGAAAGATTCGTTCTTCTCGTGCCGAAATACCCCCGGATACCATGTTTCATGCAAATCCAACGATAAGCAGCCTAAATATCCACTTCTCGCTCTGGGCCGCCATTTTGACCGCCGCCATTTTGACCGCCGCCATTTTGAAAAGGACTGACTTTTCTGGAAAACCGATGCCAGAATCGTTCTTCTCGTCCCAAAAAACCCTAAGATTCTGAGTTTCAGACCAATCCGTCGATAAAAAACGGAGATGCCAAATTTCCGCCATTTTGAACTTTGACCGGCCGCCATTTTGTCAAAAATCAACATTCTGACCTGCGGTTTGCGCCAAAAATTTTCTTTTTTTATTATCTTTCGAATGAGGTATCACAAAGGGGGGGTTGCCATTTGAAAAAAAAAAGTTAGCCCCCGCCCCCCTTAGGGGGGGCCGCCCCCCAAAATTTTGGGGGGACCAAAAAGTTGCTACTTTAGACCGAGGAACATTCCCAAAGTTTCAAACTTCTATCTCAATTTGGAAAAAAGTTACAGGGGTGGTCAGTGACTTTTGGATAACCCTGTATAACTAAATTGATAGTTGATATGTAGCTATATGTAAGTAATTTAATCTATTTTGCACAATGGACCACTAGAGAAGGTACGAATTTAAGCAATCTGATACTTGTATCTTAACCAGAATCTCACGTAGAACACGATTCGTACAACGAAAATTACTGAAACCAACTCCTAACGAGGATATGAACGATTTTATTTCACATTGGTTACGAGGAATTTGAACTGCCCGCTCACAAGAAACTCAAAGCTCTAAGTGAGTCAAATCGCGCACTACAAAGGTTTCAGCAAGCTCCTCAATCGAACAATGTTTATTCCCCACCATGTGTTGTTCAAACTATAAGCTATTTGTAATAGCTGAGCCAAAGCGTCTAGATTGAGGTTGCCAGATTTTTATATCGCAGAAACTGTCATGATAACGTTTAGTGCGCGATGTGAGTCACGTAGAGCATTGAGTTTTCATGAGCGGGTAGTTTGAATTCACGCATCAAGAATCATTAAATATCTTCGTAAAGAGTTGATATCGGTAACTTTCGTTGTACCCATCGTGTTTTACGTGAAATTTTGGTTAAGAAACATGTATCAGAATGTTGAAATTCGTACCTTGTCTAGTGGTCCATTACTATGTCAATTGCACTTCTTCCCAATTTCGAGCAAGACTGCTTTCGGTCTTGTTTCGAAGTTGTTATCTGATAAATAAAAACATTATAAAAAAAAAAAAAAATAAAAAATATGGAAACAAAATTTTCAAAAAAATTGTATACAAATATTCACAATTTTCCCAGTAAATTTGACTTTTATTGGAGGAGATATGGCAACATCTGAAGGCTCATACGGCGTTCTTCCTAAGCACGGCAGCTCAGAACACCGCGCATCCTGAGTTCCTGAACGTCTCGAGAGAAAGACTCTCAAACATTTTGTAGATGACAGACATTATGAATAGAACGTCGTAGAATCCGACCAGTCGGTCAGAGCGGAACAAGCTCAGTTCTGGACTTCCTTGCAGAGCGTTCGACCTATCGCGAGCGATTTAAATCGAATAGCCGGTAACGCATCCCGTATTAAGTATCGAAAGTGAAAGAATCGATCTATCGATGTGACTCCTACGACCCACGTCTCCGACCTGTCTTTAATGACAGACACGCACCTCCGAGTAATTATCGTGTTGTGTGTTATGTATGATATGATCCATTGATCCGGGGCCCCTATTAATGGGACTTAGTTGTGCTAATAACATAGTCTCCTTCCTCCCTCCTTGGCTCGTCTGGTCACTTGGTTAAGCTTAGGCGCATCATACCGTCGCACTATGATACAGACTTCGCTGCGATAGGAAACAAATCCCGTTAGGAATGTCTCTTTTAAGTTGTCTCAAACATACTTTTGGAGCGACACGTTATTTAGGAAACAGCTGTATTTGTGATCAGGCGGTAAATCGATAACCATATAAGGTACTTTTGACATTTTGGACGGAGAAAAATTTTCTGTTGGATCAACAGAAATTCTGGTGATAATTCTCGGATGAGAGTTATCTTTGAGTCAACAGGAAATTTATTTTCAAACGGTATGTCTGTTATTTCAAAAAGGCGTCCTGTCACTTTAAAAATATTCCGGTTGACTCAACGAGAATTCTCGCCTAGGGAGTAGCGATCGAGAAAATTGTCTCAGTGTAGTTCGAACTAGTTCGGGAAAGTCAAGAATTGTTTTCCTCGAGTCCCTCCGTATACCGCCAGCAATGAGTTGAAGTATGAGCAATGAATTGTCTACTAGTATACCTTATCATCTAACATTCTCACTTTTTCATCACATTTTTCCTCCCATTTCCTTCCATTCCTGTTTTCAGAGGTTACCGTCGTTTATTTTTTAATGCCTCATCCTCAGTTGGAAGTATTTGTGCTAAAAAGAACTATGTTCCACGCAAATCCCATGCACATACTTCCTTTTAGCAGAAATATGTCCATTTTCCCCTTACCTTACCCACATTTTGAACCATCACGAGGAAGGTTTTTACAAAACAGAGAAATTCGGATTTAGTGGAGGAATACTACAAGGATGCTACAATGAATGAATTGAAACGAGCGGACGCTACCTAAGATTTCACAGGACGTGATATAATAAATTTTGTTGAAATATCGCAAACCTCCGCGGCTTAGGTTATCACCAAAAGTTCGCACCTCCGTACTGCGCTATGAAGAATCCATACGTCTTCATACTACCGTAACGACCGTTCGCAATCCGTGCGTTTACAGAATGTGCGTACTTCTTCCGTGCGGAAGACACCCTGATTGAGGAAAAGGCTCTTTGCTGACTCTCTCTCATCAGATTTCTGCGAAATTTTCGCCTTGGCCGGGTAACCGAACACTGCCGTGGTCAGTTCCACTGTGTGTCGTTTTGAGACTGCTCCCCGCCCCTCTCTCCTTGCTCTTGTGTGTGATACATCTGCTTCTTTCTCCGGCGCGTTTCAATCGAACTTGCAGCTTTCTTTCCATTTAACTCAAGCTCGGACATTGGCTTCCGTCTCCTTTTTATCCGCGGTTACGCAAGTGTCATCTGAAACTACTTAGCCCGCCTGAAAACAATGCTAGAGAAATGATGGCTCGCCCGTTGCCAAATGCATACTGAAAAGTATGTTGAGCGCGCCCTCTAGTTTTTTTTTCTACCGCGATTACTTTAATTTTTTATGAACATCAACTTAACGTGGTTTTTTTAGCCTGAAAGGTATATATACTCTATATTGAATGTTTTAAAAAAGACCTATCTTTATGGAGTCTTACTCCTCCACGTAATATGAGAAATTATACTCGACCATGTAGTCTTTCCGGTAGTGAATATTGTCGAGGGAAACTCTCGATTGACTTCAACCTCCTACTTAAACATGACATGGAGAGGGTGAATTCACCGATGACTTTTTTTTACTGTATTACGGTCTGAGTTAAGCGGCTAGATGGAACGAAAATGGATTCTCAAGCGCTCGAATACGGGTGCAAATAAGCGATATGAATATCCGACCAGGAAGAAGTGGAGGATTTTTCGAAAATCTCCATGCAAGAAAACTTGTTTTTTGTAAAATGCTTTCAGCAATTATTTAATGATACAAAAGAAGGCTGTCTGTCTATCAAGTCTAGGAGAGTCTAGGAGAGTTCAAAACGCATAAAAGGCTCTCTGCCTATTCATCAGGCGTTAAATGGACGTATTTCTATGAAACAGACCTATGTGCAAGTGAGAAATATAGGGTATGCTTGTTAGTTCTCTGGCCGTAAGAATGAATGAGAATAATGAAGCGCCAGTGACGTCGCAACGGCAAAGAAACCGACACCGTTGCGGCTCGTGGTCGGCTTCAACTCATGAGCCCTGTCCACAACGCTCGCGTCCCATTCTGGCGGCTCATGAATCCCGCATTCAGTTGGCACATAGGTCTGTTTGATAGAACTTAATATCATAGAAAAATAAGAAAAAGTGCATCTCACAAGCCCTCACTCTCTTCAAACTCGTCTCTTTTTTCTATAAATACATTTCGTATTGGCCAAAAATCTTGCAACGCGAACTAACGCGCAGATGGACCGTCAATCCGTACGCAAGATACGCGATCTTTTGTAAGGAGACCACGGTTGCCGAACCGCACAGTTAAATCACAGGATTCCCACATTTGAGAGCAGAATTTTCTGACGACGCGGCGACCGCGGAGACGGATTAATGGCGCGAGGCGTCTTAAATGGGCAAAGGCGATGCGACGCACCGCAACGCGCCGCCGATGCCGTCGGGACGTAATGAACGCCTCCGTTGCGTAACGTAAGCGACGTCCGACGTCCGAATCGGAAGCACCGACGGCCGCATTGTCCGCTGGACGACGCGCGACGCCGCGCCGGAACGAGGGTGATCTGCGTCAATACGGGTCCGAGCTCCTGTGCTGCCGTGCGAAGGAAAAACGATGTGTGGTTATTTGGAGGTGACCACATTTTCTCGATTAAAAATGTGTGTTTTGAAGGAAAATATGAATATTCTCCCTTCAAATCTCAGGAATTTAAGATAAAATTGCGAGTCGTTCTCTCTGAGGATTTGGAAGAGAATCCTCCTAAAGTTTTCCTGAAAATTCTCATTAATCTGAGATAATTTTGCGATGTCTGAAAGCTCACGCGCCGTTTTCTCTACCCCTAGTAGCAGTGGCTGTTGAAAAAAGTTGTAAAAACTCAAAGGACTTGAGATGAAAAAGACAAGCCCTCGGCGCGGCTACCGGCATGTAACACATATTAGCGCCTACAAGTCAGCGTGAATACTTCACACATTGCGCCAAACACAGTGCGGTCAGGACTCAGGAGCGGTTGGCGTGAAACGTATAGCGCCTACAGGACTGCAGGAATACTTCACGCATTGCGCCGATCACAGTGCGATCAGCGCGCCGCAGCAGCGTTAAAATTATTAAACCAAATATATGTTTATTCTATCATAAATTTTTGGTTCATTTCTTATAAATGGAGGACCTTGTCCACGTAGAGATCAGTTTACGGAACTTAACTTTCGCCCAAAGTTGCGAGAAATTTTGCTAGTAGTGTTGACAGGGCTTTCGCAAAAAATGTATCCAACACGAGTAGGTAAACGCGTCTTATGCACCCCTCCCCCTCCGGCACGTTCACTTGATGGTTTTTATTGATGTTTCAAAATGAATGAGAAGGAGGCGGCAAAATACAGGCGGCCCATGGGCGGCAAGGCGGTAAATCCGGCCCTGCATGATGTGCATGCTCATATTGAAAACATATTCAAAAAAATTACATGATTATTCAAGTAATATGTGTTTAAGAACTGATGAAAGATCAACTATGTTTAGCTACTCTCCTAGAATATATTTTTCGTGAGGTCTAGTGATCGCAAACTGTGGAAAATCTAAGTTTGCAGTTCTTGGCATATCTAGTGTAAAAAGTTTTTACCTTTGTTTTTGAAAACCGTGATTTTCGTAAAACGAGAATGAATTTTGGCAGTGATGATGACTACTGTAATGCAATTAAATTCGATTTGCTTGAATGGATATTGATGATGAAACTGTTAAAAGCTGAAAACGAGTATTTCCAAAGGTGTATCGGTATGAGTCTTCAGACTTACTTACATTGCTTTCAAAGGAAAAATTACAAAGCAATTTTAGCAGGAAATTTTTAGGGAAAATTCTTTGATAGCTAAAGAAATATTACTGACACAGTTTTGGGCGATACTTAGTGCTGATGAGTCATCTTTAGATGAAGAAGCATGTGAAAGAAAGTCAGCAGTGTCATAGACCCAGGGAAGTACATGGATTTTTAGATTTAACATTGATATTTCTTGATAATTAGATAGGTGCTTGATGATGAGAAAGGATAAAACATTAACTTGAAAAAAAAATTACACTCGATTTTAATGATTATTCTTGAATAAAATACAAGCAAACAAACAAACAGAAAAAAAAAAGAAAAAAAAATAAGGTGAAGACATAAATTATGAAGATGACAATAACCAATAACATTTGTAGACCTATTGATGCATTTTTCTGGAGAACAGAAGAAATACATTTCCAAAGTAATAAATCAGTATTTTGAGAATGAGTTTTATTCAGAATATCAACTTTCTAACAACGGTCAATATCTAATATACTTTGATTGGGACATACTCTTCGCCCGTGTCAAGAAATTTCAAAAAATTAATAAAATTTACTTATAAAACCATTTTTTTCTTCTTGGGTCAAAATTTAAATGCAGACGAAATAGGAGTGCTTAAGTAAGTGTATCAATCTGACTGTCAGACTGAAATTTCAAACGTAAAGATTTTCTAGCATAAGAATAATTTGAGGTATTGAAACAGATGGTATTTGGTGGGTGAAAAGAGGAAAACTATGTAGTAAAAATAGTTTCATATCCGGAAAAATAATTGAGTCCAGATTTACAACTCATGTTGGTATCAAGTTCATTGTCACGACATATTGTGCTTATAAATGCATAAGATTTGGACTTAGAAAAGTTAACCAGAATAGAAAAAGATGCTTCCATAAAAAAAACAGATTTAAAAAGAATACAAAAGAGAAGAACGAGGCAAATTTCTCAATGGACTACATTGAAGCCAATATTCGTCAAACCATGACAGAAACAGGTAGACTTACACAATATTATATGGCTTTAAATGCAAACACATACTTTTATTGCCTCAGACATAGACAAACTACACAAACATTTATGCTGTTTCCATTGCTTCCTGGCCTGCTGATGGCTCGGCTTCCATTTTCTCTTCTTTGGGAGCAGGTTTCTCGTATGCCTTCTCCAAGGGGTTCACAACAATATTGTTCCAGACTGTTGTTTCTGCAGTGAGGTCATACTTAGCATCTAAAATATTTTCGAACCCAGCATGGTCAAACAATCGAACTAAGGTCTGCGCAGTGAGACAAATGGAATCTTGATGCTCGAACGTCAAGCTATTCATGACATTGATAGCTTTGAAACCGTTTGTCTCGCAGGGATCAACAATACCCGGAGACCCCTGAAGAAGTAAGCCAGCAGACAGCAATTGCAAAGCACGCCTGAACGCAACATTTATGGGTAAAGCTTGACGATTCGGATTGTTCATTATTGCATAGTGGGCAAGCAAGTCAAGAACCCAAGGATGCAATGGCTCCAGGCCTTGGAACTTGTTTTTCAAGTCTCTCAACAGCCTTATCAACATCTTTACTGTAGCATGCTGCCCATTCTCTTCAAACCATCGACAATGACCGATAGCTGCCATGTGACATAACAGGACTTTCCGTTCGAGGTGTAACTTTGGATCAAGCTTCAGTAAATTTCGGGATACAGTGGCAATTAAAACTCGAACAACTGCATCTCGAGTGTGTATTTCGAACCCTTTATTGGGAGTGACAGTAAGAGAAACTAGAAGTTGCGGTTCTTGCGTACGGAGCATTTCTACAACATTGTTGCCGAGAAGCTCGATGCATGTGCTCAAAGGAAGAGTTTTGAGGACGACGACTATATCACCCGTGCGATGCCCCTTCAGTATCGTGCCTTTTTTGAGTGAACCGACCTGCTTCAGGTCTTCAATCTGACAGACCGTCTCCAGAGCTGCAGGGGGAGTTGTTTTAATCTTTTCCAGGACCTCTTGTACCTTACTCACCAGAGTGGTGACGGCTGCCAGTTCTTCCGCTGGTGGTGTGAGATCGTTGGCTCGTTTTGTGAGTGCTTGGGTGAAAGGCTCTTCATCAGGTAGTGGAGTGACTCTTGGAAACGCTCTGTCGCAAAGCAAAAGATCGAACGGTAACCGATTGAAGGGTAATTTTGGAACCATGGGCCCTTTCGGCTTGGGCATGAATCCTCCCCGTCCACGGATCATTCCACCTCTGCCGCCGCGCGAACCTCTGGCCATTTTGATACTTCGCAAACTTTAGACACAAACCGTGGACGATCCTTAAGCGTTCCGAGAGCGCGCACGAGTAAATATATTAATTTAACTTAATTTAACGTAAAGTAAGTATGGAAATTACCGGCCTCGATTGATAATGAAAGTTATGGCCGAATGTTGATAAACCATTGACGTATAATACAATCTAGACCGCGCATTGGGCCCGACTTTAGGCGGGGAAGGTGAGACAGCTAGGGGGGTAAAGACGCGCCTTCAGCCTAGTTGATACCGCCGGATATACGAGCTAAGTGTACCCGTATCAGGCAACGGCACTGGCAAGACTGGCATTTCCGCGAATTCCACCATTGTCTCGCCGGTACACTTAATGTGTGTTGCTGGGTTGCCTATCGTCTCGCTTGAATTTCGTAATGCGCGGTCTAGATTGTATTATACGTCAATGTGATAAACAGTCGATGCCGAAGAAAAACCACTCGAACTTCCATCAGCCACCGAGTGAAGCATGTAAACATACATAACCTCATTCTAGTCTCGCGGCGTGTTATTTATATATATGTTTTTTTAAAACACTATAGTTATAGTAAATAGGAATATAATTTTGTGCAACTTCTAAAATGCAAGACAAAAATGTAGAGGGGTGATTCGTGACTAATTCATTAAACTCATTAAACAAAGCATTGTTTAGAAAAGTCTTATTTTTCTGATCAGCTTACCGAGCGAAAGTTCCACCATCTTCCACATAAAATACTTGCAAATTACTTTTCCAAAGATGATCCAAGTTTCAAACCGTATTATCTCTAAATTTTTGTAGGGATTACTCCAGAAAAAAATTCAATCCTTTTCTCCAATAATGGTAAGAGCTCATCATATTGGAATACTTTCCATGTTAAAGCCGAGACATACGTCTCCTCCTCTGGACAGGTGCGCAAGTTACTTAATAACTCGAATTCGAACACTTCTTCTCTGAACTCTAGGCCAATCTCTAGGTTAAAATAGACATTAGCGGTTTTCGCACATCCCGATTCGATCAGAATGACTTGTCGCCTCTTGACCCTCACATAGATGCAGTTTGATTTGCGTTTTGTACAAATGGAATAACGAGTAAATTTGTTAGTTTATTCGACGGGATCTGAGCGGTCTTCCTTTGAAAACTTTTAATGAATCAGTAATGCATTTCTATGCAAGCTAAATTAAATACTGGCTTCCCTATCTAATCTCTGAGATTTGCTATCCCCTAAAATTTGCTGTGTAAGGATAACACTTTGATGATCACCCTTTAAATGGGCATGCAGGGGTGCAAATTGTTCTCGACTGTGAGACTACGCGGTCTCGATCCCCCGACTGCGTAGTTGCCCCAAAAGTGTGAAGGCTGGGAATTTTTGTCTTATTGTGTTTTTTACATTATTCAGTTTCTAAGTTTTCAATTCTTGTAGAATAATGCGACTTTGGCGCACATTCCTCAAATTAAAAAAAAATTCAACAAAATTTTGATCAGTGCAATGTGTTGACCTTTTTGAAAAAACTCAGCGCGTTGTAGAAAATTGCGAAGGTCTAGAACAATTTGCATCCCTGCGGGTAGGAGCTCTAGGGAATATTGTTAAAATTATTTGAGGTCTGTAAAAGCTCATGAGAGATGAACTCTGCAATAAACAAAGTAATTTAATCATTTATTGTTTTTGTCCCCCCGTAGGTCTTAGAATTGGATGCGAAGAAAATTCCTCTCAGCCATGTCACTCAAAGATTTATTTAAAAATCTGGATGATGTCAATGCTGTTTTACCAGAACTGATCTCTGCAGATGGGCTGAATTTAAAGGTTTGTATGTTCATGTGTCTTGCTCATGCTGTTTCTAAACTTAAATGGAAGTTAGTGTGAAAGCCAGGAAGGCTGAAAATTGTTATTTCCGTTCAGGTATGAGTCAGTTGCAGACTATCACAGATGGATGTATTTACAAAGGGAGGTCATGGGTGTCCCACCTAAATTTTGATTGTAGTATGACCAAAAGTTTCTTCATAGGTGAAGTATTGGAACCCTATTTTAATTGCTGCTTTTGAAAATGAACCCTGGAAATTTCCAAAAAATAAATTTCAAAAATTTGAAAAAAAAGGCAACCTTGCTGACCGCCTATCCTGTTTCAATGCTGCGATAGTGAGTCACACTCTCGCCGAGAGAATCAGGATTTGATTTTTAGAGTTCTCACGCTATGTCTACTCAATTCTGTGATTTTGAGAGCTATATTTATTTCTTATGTTCATCCAACTACATCTGAAGAAATTCAGTTGGGCATGCAATTGGGAGAAAGTAAGAAATATAAACAAAATCCCAGGAATGAAAAAAAATTATGCACCAATCCTGGAAGTTGAACCTCAGACCTGCAGGCCTGAGCGCAATAATGCTCTAAATCAATACACTATTGCAGTGCTGAAATGTGCGGACCTTTATTTTGCCGTAGCAGTAAGTGACTCTCTTTGCCAGTTTTCTAAATTGTTTTTGGAACTTCGAAGACCCATTAAAAAACAGGGATCCTATAGTTTTGTAAGAAGAAACTTTTGATCTTACTCTGATCAAAATCTAGTAGTCACACTTTATGACTTCACTTAAATAGTCAGGTGTCTAACAGTTTGTATCCACTCGATCGATTCTTCCAATAAACAGGCATACTATCTTTTTTCAGTAGAACTTTGAAAGAATGCTATAGACATCTTCTATCAATTTTTGTTTAGATGGCAGCGCAGATATAGCAAGTGTCATATTTTCAAAGTTTTATCAATTTTATCCTAATTTCCACAAGGCTTAGGGCACAAAAATTTCTTGTAGAATTTTTGTTTAAGGATGTTTATCACCTCATACACACTGCTACACAGTACATTTTTAGTTGACAGATACTTTAATAATTTTTTCTATCTTTCGCTATTCTAATAGGATTTGGATTGGATTTCTTGGTACTTGTCAGCTCCTAAGTTTTCCTCAGTTCGCGTCAATACCATTGCATTTTCTCCAGACAGTGTTGTTGATCAACTGTCAGAGCAACTAGAAAAGGTACCTCATTCCACTATTCTCAATGGTATCTATTTATTTATTTAAACTTATACAAGGTTTAGCACATAGGACCCATTTTAGGATACTGTACAAGCCAAGAGTCTCTTACATTACCCTAAAGATACATCGATGGCTTAAGTCTGCAATCACATATCTTGTTTTCAGTGTCTGAAAATCTCCACCTCTATGCTATCTTTTAAAGGAGAACAAATAGACATCATTCCTTGAAGTTTATGTAGAATTTTCTTTGCATAAAAAAGAAAAATCATGGCAGTTTTAAAGGAAGCCGTTGAGTAGTTTTCCATTTAAAAAGTAAAGTATGACAGGAAGTCTGCGAAGTCCCAAACCGAGTTATATGATTGCTGACTTACACCATTGACATGCTTAGCAATATACTCTAGTAGCACGTAACGTAAAATTTACAAAAAATACGTATTGTGGTATACTCTTTCAAGTGTTACTTCAATAGACCAAAAACAAAATGCCTATGTAGTAATTTTTACAAGGAAAATACATAATAAGTACGAACTACCTCTTTTTACATCTTTGATCAAAACTTTTCCACGTAAAATTCCTTGGAACTCTGACAACTTACTCTCCAGTGCTTGAAATACCACTGACAAAAATGAAATTCAACGTTTAGTGAGAATGTGTCCCTAAAAATTGGCAATGCTCTGCAGCTATCCCATGTAGCAGGGAATCTGAATTTGTACTGATTAAAGAGCCATCTATTGTTAGAATACAGTCAATTTAGTGCTCTGAAATGTCTATTAATTGTACTTTTCTGACCTGTCAAATATTAATCTTCTACAAATACTAAAATTATCTAAAAGAATAAGAATCGTATCAAAGCCCAATTTTTAATAATCAAAAGGATATTGAACTTCAATCTTATTTTCACATTTTTCATTTTTGAAAGTTTTTCTGATTAATATTTCAACATGAAACAACTAGTTTATTGCTGTAAAATTTTCACTTTTAAAAACTGCTAGGAATCTGACACTGCGCTTCATTTTTAGAAAATTAGTTAGGAAATTTATTTTGATAAATGCATCTGTTCTTTTTCAGGTTGCTACACTTTTCAATAAAGAGCCTTCAAAAGTGTTTGTACATCATTTGTTACCAGATTGTGTAATAATTTCACCGTGGAAGGAAGCTAATTTAACACGCAGAAACAAGGAAGTAATAGTGGATAAGTTCTGTGGCTTGGCTGTGTTACGAGGATCTCCTGTTTTTGCACCAGGAGTAAAAGGAATGCAACCAGGTAAAACAACGATCAATGACAGGATGACGTCTTTTTAATGCAGCTGTTCACAAACAACCCATAACACAAAGAACAGAAATAATGTAATAACAAAACCCTTATTCAACAGGTGTTTCTGTGTGAGTCGTTACCAGCAACATCTATGGCATCAGAAAGTGATGACTATTATTTTGTGTGAATGATGCCCTCAGAAAGAGGCGGGTCTACTTTAGTATGATCCCATCTATATTGCCGAGCAATAGCAATCAGTCCCCTTACTGTTTCAAGTTTGATGCTAAGTGCTCTGATGCTAAGTTTTGTTGGATTAATGCCCTACACTCTCATACATTCAGGCATCATGTAAAAACTTATGCATTGATTTTAATTGGTTCTGTCAACGTGGAGGAAAGCCATTAGAGATAAAATCTTGAATCTCACACTCTGGTTGTGATGATGCTATTGGTGTTAAACAGAATACATTCCTAATTTTTGGAGCGTGGAGCCGCTTCCTTTTAAATGATGTTCTTTGATATCATATCATTCATCTTTTTTAAGGATCATTATTTTATTTGGTTGCCATATTAGGTTTCAGACAAATTGATAATATTTTTTTTTTAATTTCTTAGGCTCATTCTTGAAAGCGGCTAAATAGTAGTCCAATAATTTCTTATGCAAAGACTTTTGGACACACTCTAATCAAAATCTAGATTTGATACTACCCACCTACCTCCACAATTTTACCTTATTTTTCCAGGGCAAGCCTATGAATCGGAAGAAAAAATTTCGAAAATTAGAGGATAAGATAGCCACTTGAAATAAAAGGAGTGGAATGTAAATGTTTTTCCACAATTTTTTTGACAGGTTTAGATGAACATTTTTACTTAATATTCTCTGTAGTATTTTTGTACAATAATCATGTGAACTCTTTTTTCAGATGTTCGTGAAGGGACAGAAGTCTCTGTTTTTGCTGATGCCTCAAATAGGTGCAAAAGAGGGTTTTTACGGGAGTTTGTAGATAACTCGAAAACTTTTGTTGGCAATGGTGTAGTAAAAATGGATCGCTACCGTCTATTCAATGAAAAGGAATTGCCATAGTAAGTTGAGCCTTACATAACAAAGATTACATATCACAGGCCCCTGATAATTCAAATCCATAAAAACTGGAAGAAAGTTTTTTGTAAAGATGATGAGCAACCATAAGCCTTAATGGCTACATAGGTTATGAGGGCTAAAGAGTCAGATCATCAACTGGGGGTGGTTCTTTAATACAATGATCTCCTTGATTCTTTAGCTTTGGAGCCATTTTGACTTCAGGCGAGTGACTACTAGGTGGTGAGAAAGGCTTGTGTAGTTTAGATGCTAATTTGTAAGATACTCACTCTCAGTTTTCCCAACAAAAGCTATGTTTTTGGTGTCTGTATTGGCTATGCCAATGTTTTTGTCTTTAAATTTTATTATGGAATTTTGTACGCTTTTTTAGTTTAATAAGTTTCAAATGTCTCCGATGAAAACACTAGCTACTTTTAATAATATCACATATGATTGAATTACAGAAGCTAAAATTACACATTTCTGACACAAGTAACTGCAGCATTTTCTTAAGCATAAGTTGGTTTTAATAATCTTAACTTATTTTAGTGGCATAGCTGTGGAAATAACTGATACTGAAAGCAAAGTGTGCGGCGTTGAGCTACCTGAAAACCTAGGTATTCTTCAAAATCTACCATCAATTGTTTGTGGCCACGTTTTGGGGGTAAATGCTGAGGATAATTTGACTGTTTTAGACATGTGTGCAGCTCCTGGGAATAAAGCAACTCACCTAGCAACTCTCATGAAAAATAAAGTAAGTCAACAAAAGCAATTTTTCAAAAATGACGGAAGTTGTTCCATGGTCTTATTTGGACAGAGCTATCTATTAAAAGTAAATGAATGATTTAAAAGAAGGTGTGTTTGCCATACCGCTTTCCAAAGAGCCGAAGGAGTCAAAAAGTGGCCTTCCAGTGTGCTCGGAAAGTCTGTTTGCTAGACTGACCACCTCTTCATGCAGGTCAAAAATGTAATTTTGATCTCTGCGCAGAATATCGGAACAACAAAATCAAATTGATGGCCCTGTAAAAGATTAAATGTTAAGCACCTATTTTGCTTTTCAAAGTAGTCTCTCCTTTTGTCCAGACACTTCTGGTATTCATACCGCACCTTTCTGACGCTCGGTGAAAAAAAAATTTATCGTCTTGACTTCGAAGCAAGGAAAATAAACTTTTTTGACTGCATTATCAGTGGCGAACTTATTACTGCCAAAATCAGATGTCAGTCCTGGAAAAAAATGAAAAACTCGAGGGACTAAATCTGGCGACTATGGAGGATGAGAAAAAGTGTCACACATGAATTTCCTTTGCAAAAAATTATGAATGGCTCCTGCAGAAAGTGGATAACCACTCAAAAACGACACCGACTCAGAAATCTTCTTTTTGGATCCATTTGGGAAAGAGATCGCAAAACGGACTTTCCCATCAAATACAAGGGACAATTTTCAATTTTTATGAATAGTTCAGAGTATGGCAGATACGCTTGTTGTCATTGCATTTATTTGTCCATCTCACTTATGGAAAAATATGACCGTGGAACTTACTTTTGGAACGACCCTCATATTTAGATTTTTTGCAGGATCTTAATTTTTTTTTTTTTTACAATGAAGCTGATTATCAATCAGAACTCTGTTGATAGTGATCTTAAATCGTAAAGATAATTGAATTAACCCCCCCCCCCCTTCTCATTATCTAACCAATGCAAAATACTGCTGTCATCAAAGTGCGGATGTATAATATAGATTAATGCTAAATCAAATTTTATGAAAAAAATTCAGCATTTAGATTTCCGTATTTTATTGAAAGTTTATGTAATTGGATGAAACGATTCCTAGAAGAACCATAATGAGGGAATGACAAAGCACTGAAGAATTTATAATTAAGCCCGGTAGCTATGAATTTCATCATACATATACACAAGAAATATGTTTTCAGCATCAGCACACTGGCATAAATAGGCGTTTGATTCTTTCATCATTTCATTTTTCAGATTTTCCTTTTCTTGGTCTTTTTTCAGGGTCTAATTATTGCTTTAGACAAAACAAAGAAGAAGACTCATAAAATTAACAAGCTTTGTGCGCAATTAGGGATACAAAATATTCGAACTTTTGCGTTTGACTCGAGGAAATCAATAGATCGTTTCAGAGAAGGAGTTAACCTATCCGATGGACCTCCCTATGCTCCTGAATGTTTCGACCGAGTACTACTAGATGCACCCTGTAGTGGTTTAGGTCAAAGACCTGTTTTTGACTTTGACTTAACGCAGAAAGAAATAGAATCTTTCCCTCTAGTCCAGAAACACCTTTTTTCAGTTGTAAGTATTTTACTATTACTGATATGCACTTACTTCCTTACCGACATACCTCTTTGTAACCAAGGACCATTTTTCAACAGAAACATCGCGATATATTGAAATTAAGTTGCGATTTTTTGGGATCATCCACATCTGAACATTGATCTTATTGGAATTTTATCTCTATACAATCGTGTTTGATAAAATCAAATTTTTGCTTTCAATTTATCACGATTTTATCTTCGACAATATTGCAATAAATCGACGTCAATAAAATCGCGATTTTATTGCAAATTTATGCAATGAAATCACAATCTATTGCAATTTTTCATCCAATTAAATCGACAGTTATGAAATCCTAATACGTTCTCCGATCAAATCGCAACTTATCTCAGTCAATGCTACTTGGGTAGTGTCACTACAACCCTCCAAACTTGAGGAGGGTCCAGACACTCTTCCTCTAGAGAAAGGACTCGTACAGGAAAAAGCTACAAAATTATGTTTTAATGTGTTGTTTATTATTATTTCAGGCTGTGCAACATGTTCGCGTTGGTGGTTTCTTGGTGTATAGTACGTGCTCAATCACTCATGCAGAGAATGAAGGGCTGGTAAAGTGGGCTTTAGAAAAATTTCCACAGATCAGGCTTGTCCCAGCAGAGCCAATAATTGGCAAGTCAAGGACAGTAGAGGTCAGTCATATTTCTTTCTTCCGCCTCAGAATCATGCTATCCGACTGATGGTCATTCTTTCACTGAGAGCCTCAGTAATGGTTGGAGAGTTTTCAACGATTTTGATATCATGCTAAAATCTAGGCAGCTCTCGTTTGATCAAAGCTGTGACAATCTTCCCCGCATAATGAGACTGTTCAGCAATTTTCCTCCTTTTTCTGTTTGACAGTACTGATTGAACTAGGTCCATAGTTCTGTTGGACAAAAATCGCAATTCTAAAAAATTTGCATCCATCACAAATCATGATTCTAACGTTGAGACCATCAGTTAGACTTCAGTTTGCAATTACCACTTCTGGCTTATTGTTAGTCACAAAAGCACCAATCTCCCTATGGAAACTAATAGCACATGTGTTGTTTCTGAAATGAGTCAGAGGTCGCAGTTCTTAGAAGCAAAATTTAGTCCAACTAACACTTTGTTTGGATTTTGCTGTCTCTCATTGCATTTTTAATGTTTTCAGAGTGGTTTAAGCGAAGAAGAGAGCAAAATGATTCAAAAATTTGGACCTCCATCGGACTGCACTCCTGATACTGATACTATTGGGTTCTTCATTGCCAAGTTCAAAAAAGTTGAATCTGTTCAACACCCTTAAGAAGTTCATTTTGCGAAGCATAATGTTCTGTCTCAACATTGCCTCTGTATCCCCGAGGCCCCAGCCATATGGAAAGGGGATGTAGCAGCCCTTTCTACCGGAAGATGTTGTTGAAAGTTAGTGAGTGGCCAATCTGGTTTCAGGGTGTCAAGCAATTTTTAAAAAAAAACTCCGACATTTCCCTGACAAAACCGGCCAAAAATCGGGTATAAAATAATTTCATGACATTTCCCCGACAAAATGGAAAAATACTCCTAATTTTCGACATAGTTGATCTGACTAGACGAAAGTAAGAATTGTTTCATGTTGTACGAATATAACGTATGAAATAGAGCAAAATATATGGTGCCTAAACTTATGCGAGATATTTTTACCTCATTTCTAAAATTTAAGGGACATCAGTAGAAATTCTGGTAGAAATTCTGGTATTGATTCCATTTTTCTGAAACTTAATTCATCATCAATATATTTCAAAAAAATAAATCTGTGTGTTTCAATTTTCTTGACTTTTTCCTGACACAAAAATCGCTTGCAAAAAAAATTTCCTGCTATTTCCCAATTTCCCCGGTCGCTAGACACATTCCTTGAGGTTTTACAGCACCTTAGTTACTGTTTGATCGGGTGGGAGAAGAGTAAGAAACAAGAAGACCAATTTGTTAGGAGCTATAATTTTACTTCGTACTTAAAATAAGTGGCTTACATTTTACCTTACATGTCTGAATCTTAAATAAATTATTTAATTGTCCTATCTACTTACTTACTAGCACATATTGCAAGGAAAGAAGGAAGGCGGGAATCAAAAGGGCTTAAGTTTTAAAAGTCTTTTTAAAAAATGAGGAATTGAATAAATTATAAATTAAATGAATAAATATGAAGTAGAAGTACAGAAAAAAATAAAGAGAGGATGAATTTCACCCTTGACATGTTAACATTTAACATAGTTCACCGCAGTCAACTATGTTATGTAAAAAAAGACACATTCGAAAAAAAATAAGCAAAACATAACAATCTTTTTCAAGGAAGACTAGTCTATTAGAATGAATGACTAGATTATATGGGAACTTAATACTTATCTTTCATTGCGTCAGTGACTAAACCGTAAATGAAAGTTGATCAGGTTTCTAGAAACTTTGATTAATCTTCCAAATGCTCAGTTTGGGAAAATAGTGGGAAAGCAGAATGGATTTTCAACAGAAGTATCAACTGAAATAAAATTTAAAAGTTTTCTACCTTTGACTTCTTTTTCAATCAAAGGCAAATGTTCATTACTGATGGTGAGAATTTTAAAAGGAGCATCTCAAGAGCATGCAACACCAAGGGAATGCTTTACAAAAAAAGATTAGTGGAATTAATCAATAACAATGAACTTTTTGACTTGTCGACTAATTTAAAGGTAGAAATTACTTGTAAGATAGAGAATAGGTACTTCACCTTATCAAGACAGTTCTACTGCATTCACAGTAATAAAGGTCAGTTTTGTCAGATTCGGATTGAAGCACAACTTCTCAGACGGAAGATTATCAAATTTGACTTGCATAAATATCAAGTCTCAACTGCTTGGGCATGCCAAAAAAATACAAACCAAAAAAAGGGGGCAAGAAAATGGGTAAGTTGCACTGGTCACAGAACCGTGTTTAGATGCTTGATCCTTGTAGATTAGCTAAAAATAATCAGATCTGTCCAAACTGTAACTTTCTATGTTCAATATTAACAGAGATATTGCCCTTTGAAAAGTCGGGTTTTTGACGTTATCTACCGCAGTGGTGACACCCTTGGTTTCTTCCACCTAGCTTTCGTCAGTCGGTGTGACACACATTAGCACTGGTTATTCGACGCGAAACCTGGATGAAAGCAAGATAGAAGAAACCAAGGGTGTCACTACCGCAGTGGATGACCTCAAAAACCCGACTTTTCAAAGGGCGCTATCTCTGTTAATATTGAACATAGAAAGTTGCGGTTTGGACAGATCTGATTATCTTTAGCTAATCTACAAGAATCAACTATCAAAACACGATTTTGTGACCAGCACAACTGACCCATATAGTCCGACACGCCCAAAGTTCCAAGTGTTATTGAAGGCGCGGATTACAGAAAACCAGTAAAATATTTTGGGAGATTTTAAGGTAGAAAGAAAAAAGAGGTTTGACAAAACTGAGGGAAGTGATAAGATATGCAGAATGGAGGTCACTGGAAACAAAGAATTTTCAGAATATTAAAAACTTTGAATTTTTCCATGCTCCACGTTATGTCTCACTTATGTTTCGAAGAGCCTGGTGTCTATTTTTTTTGGGTACATTACAAAACAAGGGGTAACACTTTAAAATGCACTTATGATGAATATTGTATCTTATTAATTTAAAATCAATCAATAGCACAATCATAAATATATACAATTTTGTTACAATGCATGTGCGAGAACAAAGTGGTTATCAATAAATGATATTAGACCGTCGTTGTACATAAATATTTATAGTGTAAATTATGTATTTACTTACGTTGTATGTCAATATGTATATAGGTACATAAATAATGATTTATCACACACGAATAGCTCTTTGTGGAGCTAATCTTTCAACAAAACAAAAAAAGTTGATGAATATGAAAAATAAAAAATAAAAAAAATAATGGACAAAATAAATGAATAATCATTGAAACACAGAGGACTGCACTGTTTTTCAAATAGGCCTTTGAATGCTTTCTAATTTGAAATCTTACTAGTTGACTAACGTTTGTTCACAGCCGATTAATATTTTACACTTTCAGCTATTTCTAGAAGCTTTTTGTATGTACATTAGACTAATATTTTTCATAGATATTTGTGAGTGAATATAGACCGTAGACAATCCTCCATTACGTAGGCCTGTCCAGAAAAAAGTTTTGAATTTCTATCATTGCAGCACATTTAACCTATGACCTTTTTATATCGAACTCATAACAGAAAAAAAGGAGAAATAAATTATTTCATCGAGCAATAATTCTTAAATTAGCTTATTGCAAATAGATGGAGGGGTTAAGTTTTACTTTGATGGGAGGAAAAATTTTGTTCATGTCAATACACACTTAAATCAAATTCGATGTTCAGAAATTTAATCTATCAGACATAAAATTATTTGACTTAATTTCTAGCATAAGGAGGAAAAGCAATTCAGACTGAGAATTTTGATTATCAGATGAACAAATCAAATAACTACCATTTATGTTCACTATTGATGTAAACTTCCCTTGAGAAAAAGGACATAAGATAGCTTCTTACTATGCACCTCTTTTTTGAGAAATCAATTCGTTATAGTTGCTCATTTTATAAAACACAGTATCTACTCCAAAATTGAAAGTAATTAGTGATTCGGTGCGAATTTTCAGAGGAGCTTTTTAAAATTATGAGCGGGCAAAATTAAAGCTATTTAAATCTAGGGAAACATTAGGGTAACAGTTTTCTTTAAAAAAGGTGTGAGTCATGAAGAAAGATGAGAGTGATAAAAAGGATGTTAACTGTAGATAAAATAATTCTCAAGGCATGAAACAGGAAAAGGCTCTTAGAATTGTTCAATGGATCAAAAAAGAGTGAACCAAAGTATGTGTCCACGGGTAATCCCTAAATTCCTCTCTCAGTAAATTTTCAGACAACCTTTAAAGGAGAAATATATACAAACAAAAAACAAGGGAAAATTAATAACTATCATCATTAACTAACAAATAAATTTGTGATTTACTTTTTTAACAAGAGAAGGAGAAAAGGAAATTAGAGATAAGCACCAATAAAAAGAAAAGAAGAAATAAATAGTGGTTCCTCATAACATATGTTCGGATTAAAAATTATCAACATCATTGGTGAGGCAATCGTGATGAAATATTAAGATAATTCTTTAATATCATCCTTATTGAACTAATGATTAGATGCTAGTGCTTGAGATTTAGTTTCATACCTTGGAGAGGTGGTTCATTGAAATGAAAATTAGTTTTTTTCTCTTATAGTGGGATATTTTGAGACATCAAAATAAACGCCACATGCTTATCTGAATGATGATGTTGGGTTAGATTAAGGTGAGAGAATCCGCTAGGGGCACACATGAATAATTTGGTATCACACAAGGCCTGATTGGACAAAGCACTAATTTTTCAATACTTAGGAATTATTTGGAGAGACAAATGGCAAAAGTTGCATGGATCCGAACTGGACAAAACGAAACACCTCAGGAGACGTTTAAGAACTATGCAAGACGCTTTTTACATTATTTCGGCTTTCTACGATTTTTAAAAAAATCTGACTGCCACAAAATAAAAGCTACAATAAAAACTGCCGATTTCACATTTAAACCATTCCCAAATAAATAACTTCAGTGCTTCTGTGACAAACTGTGATGCAGGCTCAGAATCCCCTTGCACTTGTATAGTACTTGAACGCTCCCTCAGGGAAGTGACGACTTAAGAATTATGAACGATTGAGAAAAAGGCGATTACAGAGGAGGGATACGAACATCAGTCAACAATATGATCTTCCCAAGTTTTTGATGAATGAGAGAGTACACAAATAAAAGAGAGAACTTGCAAATGGATGCCCATTTCCTCTAAAAGTATTCGTCATACATTTAGAATAGGTTAGGTATAGTCTAAATTAGCGAGATCATGATGCATCACAAGTTAAAGCTGAACTCAATAGAAGAAAAAGCTACAGCTGGTAATACTTTGGCTGGATTCCTAGGGTCAATCCAAGTCAGGAGTGCTTAAATCAATTCTGACAAATTGAAAAGGTTGACAACAATCTCTGATTTAATTGTAATGTTTGGAGGTTCAGTCTATAAAAGTAAGGATTGTGAAAAATGTAAGGCAAAACACAAAATTATGTCCAAAACTACCTACCCGTAAATATACAGCAATTAAAGGTGCCATACTTACAATAACGGAAGTTTTGGACCAATTCTACATTTCCGCAGATAATGGGAATTTTGGGAGCACTTTTCTCATCCAAAAACGCTATTCTGATGGATTTATTACATGATCTATCATCAACACAAGTCTGTATCTTATAAATCATATGTGATGAAGTGTTAGTTTGGAGGTTTTTTTTCTTGAGGCACTAATTAATGATAAGCACTTGGGGTAGCGTTCATGGTTGTTCATGAATGTTCTGTTCCAGTAAGTATCCTGAAGCTGTGAAAAATTGAGGGGTTGCATAGGCCTACACCTTACGTCTATTCCAACAGTGACTGTACACTTAGCTCTCCTGCTTTCGAGGAAAACAATTGCAGACAAGATTCGAGTTGCACACATTGAAATTACATTTAAAATTGAGAGACTAACAGCTGAACATGTTTATCATTTCAATCCACTCCTATCATTTAGCCCTATCCCCCTGGGAGCGAAAATGATCTTAAAACATCTATTCTTTGATTGCAATAATATTTGACAAAAACGTTTTGTTGAGACAAGACGATCCAAAATTAGTTCGATTTCAGAGATGTTGGGCTTTGAGGTCAATCATTTTCGAATGAATCTCAGACGTAAACATTGTTAGGAGTACCATTAAAAATGTATTTCTCTTACAGAGCCCTTATCACGTTGAACTGTGTTTAGTGTTCATTCAATTGTTCCTAGTGAAATTAACTAAGAGGACCTCTATCTTCATTTGCTAAGAGCTCTTAAAGGTACCGTGGTAAATTCAAAGTACTGGTTACTATAGATGTATTTGTTAAACAAGGATATGTCGAGTAATAACATTCACAATAAAGGGTGACAGAAACATTACACATTCGAGTAGAAATTAATGTTTTTCTGCAATTGGATCGCTTGTTTGGATAAAGGCATAAGGGATTAAGATTTCTCACAACATACATCTTTCTTAAAAAAAACCATTCCCTAAAGAGAGCAAGGAAGTTGAGAAGTGCTTAAAAATAATATAGATCAAGTTCAGCTAAACATCAAAAAGCAATTCACCTTTCTGAAGGGACTGTACGAACTTTTTATTTATTTATCCTAAACTCTTTACACCCCAGTTAAGTCCTATCTGCTCACTGAGGATGCAGTAGGTTTCTTTTGTAAGTTTTTCCCAATTCGCCAACATATTGTCTCAAGGCATTTAACACCAGGAGATGGAGTGCGGACAAAGAGTACAATATTCACCGTAGAACATTCAAATATGCCTATAACATGAGAAACTGTCATTATTATTACAATCTGGAGTTTTTAAATTTTTGACAGCACTTGATTTATTTCGTGGCAGAATTTCTAGCTACTTTTATGCTCAATGAATTTCTTTCTCTCAAATAAAACGAGAGCAAGAATACTTGGTAACATTGATGGTAAATAAAGTAGAAATTTTTCACACTCAGTACATGTACTGTGGCTGCGAGAGAAGTAATCAAGCAACACTATTTTGCCCAGTCAGACAAACACTTGACAAAAAATCCTAAGCATTCAGAAAAGTGGAGTTACGATATTTATGATGGGATAGGTTTCTATGGATGCTGATTCTAATTTTCGTTTACTATGTTGATGATGTTGCCTCATTAGCATAATCACCGGTGATTCTTCCTCCTCATCGAGGAAATTCAAGTCTGAAGCAAAAACTAGGTGGAAATTAGATTAAAAGAGTTTTCTTCTTTTTAAATCTAATGCAGATGATGAAATTACCTCACTTTGTGACTCAAGATGTTAATGGGATGTACACTTCTAAACTTCATACTTCTGATTGACAAGTTCTTCAGAAATGTTCTAACTTTGTTAGATTTAATGTTCGCACAGTCCTTCGTTTTTTTCTTTTTGTCTACTGCTAAATCTACTAAATGAAAAGCTATCAAACAGCAGTGCCAATAAGGAAACTTACTATGATGCCGCTTTCTACTACTCAATTTGAAGGCACAGAACATGTATGGACACCCTTAATTTTTAAAAATTAAAAAGTATTGGCAATCTGGATAACTAATCCATCACAGCTGATGATCACAAAATTGAAATCACAAATTTTGACTCAAAACATGAAATAAAAAACTAAATTTTACCTAAAAATAACAAAAAATCACTTAAATTTCATAACAAGTACGACTGGGAGGGGAAAAATTTATAATTAAGAAGCTATTTGACGCATGCTGCTTTATGTATCTTTTCATAGAAAGCTACAGGCCAAGAGGAAAAAAATTACTAATAACTTACTCAAAGGTAATTTTTCACAACTACATACTTTCCTTTAACGTCACACATATATTTCATTTAAGGATAAGAGAAACCAAGAAAATACGAACGAAACCTTCAACTTTGCAGTGAGGAGGAAAAATGTCAAGGTTTCCTGATGAATATGTAATTTTAAAAAAAATTCACAAGTTCGTCATTGATCAGAAGAAATTAGACAACTTGACTGGACCACAATTTGCAATAAAGAACCACTATTTCTAGCTCATTTTAGAAACATTATATATGCCATTGGTTTCCCTATGCAGTTAGGTGCTTTCATAGAAGAGCCAGGCATAGTGGTTCTTTATTGCAAAATGTAACCCAATTATTTAAAATACTCAGTAAATTGATCACTGCGACTTGCCATTCGGCAACAGAGCAAGATTGACGTGAAACGGAGGTAGGTGACTAGAGGGTTGAATCGTCCACTTTCTTTGTTAGGCCTTCATCGGGCCGGGTAATTGACTAGATTATCAATTGCACGAAGGACCTCTTTAGGTTGTCATTAACTAGCTTGATAAAAGCAGGGCAAAGAAAGTGAGCAATGCAATGAAACAAACACAAGACTGTTTTACCTGGGTCACGAATCATGTCTTCTCTCATGAACAGGTAGGTAGCCGTTGAGCTCAACAGGACGTAAAGACTTTTCTAAGTCTCTTTATTTTTCTTTAAAAAAATCAAACTTCTAGAATTTTCAGGGGTGGAAACAGGATACTGACAAGAGATAACACTGAATTAGTTAGTTGACTTGAGGATTAGTCTTAATTTCACTGCAAATATAAAAACATCAAATCTTCCTTTTCACTCTTGAAAACCAACAGATTTGGCAAGGACTGCAGTGATAGTTTAGTGGAACATAAAAAGACAAACTAAAGCAAAGGAACGTTCTTTTTCTTGAATTCCTCATTGAAATAAACGATCAGAAATTGAATTATTCCTTAACATGTGACAAGTCAAAATGTGTACAAAATATTCTCTTGGCACGCAGAGTTGAGATGATCTGATATAAAATCAACAACTATGTCAAATAAAAAGTGAATTGAAGTACAACAAAAATAATAACTATGCAACTCAAACAATGAACAGATTGAAAAAAAAGGAGATATACATGTATATGACACAGCTAAATTAAAAATCATAATGTGACATACTGAAAAACTACATTTTAAAGTCCTTAGTGGTTTAAAGCATGTAATTTCCTTTCCCTCCTACAAAAACTGAAATTGAATCCTGAAAAGCTTAACAGTTCCAATATTGGCACAATTACCACATTTTTCACAACAAGTTTGGTGTATACTTAATCTTTGATAGCTGTACCTTTTTAGGTAGTGCCGGTTAAGAGGAAAGATAAAACTCATGTTAATGATTTTAAACAACTCTCCCTCCTGCAGCAGTGTTTTCAGGACAAAACAGTTACTTGAGATAAACATACTTTGCTCCATATTCTGTCAATTTTTCTCGATGCAAGTGTAAATCTTTTTGAAAAGTCAAAGTAAAAAAAAAGTAAGAAAAACCATGGACAGACTGAATTGCTTTTTCTTTTGAGATTTACCAGAGATTTTCTCGGAGTATTTCAGCGAGGGGAAAGGAGGGATTGGGTTTTTTGCGGGAGAAATCCCTTGAGTACAAACTGGGGTAAAAGAAAATCTCTCACTAGCCAAAAATAACTTCAATAAAAACATTATTAGGTAAAATTGGATACGGCACTGCAAATTATTCTTTTAGAGACCGCAAAAATCTGAAGATGCAGCTTTTTTTGATGCGAAGTTTTTTGAAGTAATAAGCTTGTTTGAACTGTTCCTCTACGGTCTGATAAGACATTTTCACAAAAGGGAAAGTCACAATCTATTCATCTGGTAGCAAATAGTGGGTAAATTACTTCTGTGCGATTATTTTTGATTTTAAACACAATTTTTCATTTAGAGCCTCATAAATTCCTGAAGCTTTAGCGCACTATCAGGTATACATAGGTACATTTGTCAAAAGAAGAGCCGATTTTTTTCTGTCCCCCTCCCCCTGATACACCATAGAAGATATTATAAAGATGAATGACATTTAAATGAGTTCCATTCTGAGAAAAATACTTAAGGTAAATAATGCGTCACAGAAAAAGGAGGACGTTGCACTATGATAAATAACTTGAAGTCAGATTCTTGACATTGAGAAAAGGGGAGAGAGACGCTACTTACTAGTGAGGGAACGGGTATTTGATTAATTTATCTTTTGTCCAGAAATGCACTTCATGGAATTGATCGACAATATGTGATTATTTAGATGAAGGTATAAAAGGAGAAGAATGTTCTTCCTTTCAAGGATGAACTGTGTGCATAATTTGACTGACAAACAGAAAAAAAGATATTTGAAAGTAGAAGAGGTTGAAAGAGAACACTTACGAGAATTGATTTGCGGAGATTAATGAAAATAAAAAAAAATAAATCATTTGAGTTTGACAGTATCACACAGAATGTGCACATTCCAGAGCAAGAGGGAATTAATTTATACTTAAAACTAGAGTCCTGGAAATAATTGCTCAATGTAAATTTGAAAAAAAAAAAATGATGCAATATTATCATACTTTAACATTATATAGAGGTATTTACAACTAGCATAAGGTATATTTACATTCTCAAAGAGGAAACAAAATTACAGTGAAACTACACTGCGGCAAGATTGACTAAGTGGGCAAATCTATTTGATGAATCGGTGATGCACAGAGTTTTTTTGCTTCAATACCTACCCATCATACATGCAAGAATAACTGCACGATATTTTTGAATGGTATCACTTGGGTCAACAAAACTTCTAACAAGTATGAACGAAAGAGGGTGGTTTTTAGTTTAAAGTATGATCAAGAAGCCATGAAAAAAAGCTGCTGACTCAACCAATTTGATCAAACGAACATTTTGGTAATTTTTAAAGTTTAGATATCTTGATAAAATCAACAATTTATAATCTGTGCCCAACTCAATTACTGTAAAACCAGGACATTCTTACTCATGAAACTGATTTTGTTGAATATTGCAGGGTAATTTGGTATAATTAAAGTAATTCTTCTAATTATATTGACAATTTTCTTCGACTTCAAAATTCATCTACACAAGAATTAAAGTTTTTCGTCTTTGGAAAACTACACATGAACAATAAGGATCAAAAAGCTAAAACATTTTGTATATAGGGAACCTACATCATTCAATATTGTCACACATTGTTTTGATTTGAACAAACTGGTCAGCTGTCAAAAACTCGGGGAAATTAAACGAGAACGTACATAGCACCAAAATATAAAAGGTTAACAGAGACCACAGTTCAACATATTTACACGTACCGTAACGCAACGTAGATGAACGTACCTATTACAATGTTAACTGAATTTACACAAACAAAAGAAACAAAAAAAATTGTTTCCTTTGGATCGCTTTAAAAAAAAGAAAAGAAAAGAAAGGTAAACAGAAGTTGAAATGCTGTCATCTCCTAAAACAAGAAACTACTTAGTTCATTACAATATCCCTTTTATATTTGAGCTTATAACTTGAACATTATTTGATCTGTACCGTAAATTAAACCTTCATGGCTAATTGAATGCTGAAGACTACATCCATACACTGCAATAAAACTTGTCTTTCATTGTAAGCTTTCAAATCAGTGAACAATGGTAAAATTCCCCTTGATGTTTTCATTTTGACCATCGATCAATTTTCCCAACTTCTGAATTCAGAAGAAGGCAGCAAAAAACTGTCTAAATGAAGTGGATTTCGAAACAACTCCGCCGCGACAAAGAAAAAACTCAGGATAAACACACTGTAGGATAAGAGGGAGAAAACGGGTGATCCAACCAAAAGAGAAAAACTAGGTAAATAGGGAAAACTTAACAATTTGGAAACTATAGGTCATTTGGAGGACAAAGGACTAAAATATTAACGCAAATTTAACGAGCACAGGAATATACAAAAATATACATTTCAGTAAAGCTTAAAGGAGATTCAAAAATGCTAAAGTTTGTATCTTTTCATGGGCAACTTTACTGCGGAAATAATGAGTGGCAAAATTTAAAAGTGAAAGAGGAAAAATCGCCATAAAAAGAAGGAAAAGGACTGAGCATAGCTTCAACATTCTGAGCAGATAAGAGAAGAAAATGAAGGGTGATGAGTAAAAACACGAGGAAGAGGGTTAGGGCTTTTTTAGAACGGATCCTCAAAATGTATTTCCAACTGCAGTCATTGAGTCATCTCACATTGCAATTCTCTCATTGGTCTAATATGATGAGAATTTTTAAAGGAACCTCCACAATGATCCAGGTGCTCACCTACTAGTCTCCATTGGAGTCTGCGGGAAATCAATTCTGACTTCTTCAAAATTAATTATCAAGACTAAATGACTTAACAGAAGTCGGAGTATTTTATCTTGCATATTTATTAATTAAATTTCATTTCGTTTCTTCAACGGAATGCGGAAATAAAATTTTCATGGGCAACATATTGCGGTAATAGTCCTGAAAAAATTCTCATAGAGACAATCCCTTAGATTTGTTCGATGAACTACAGTAGAATACACACAAATAGCTTACTTTCAGAATTCCATGGAAACAGCGATCAGCCTCTCATTCCAACTATTGATGTTACCTGCTGCAAGAAATAATGCTTCAATCCAAAATTCATGAGGGGAAAATGAAAGTTTTTTTCTTTCTTTCTTTCTTTATTTTCTTCTTTCCTTTTTCAATTAACTAGAAAAACACATCTGCTTCAATTTAAATGAAGCCAGAATTGACTTCTTTTGGTAGAAATATTAAAATCAAGTAAAATAATAAGGATCAGCATTTCCATGAAATTTTTAAATGAAACTTTGTAAGCACATACAAAATGGACAGCGCCAACCAGGCATACTCTTTTCTGTTGTCATTTGTATTGTAGGTTTTTTTTAAAAATAAACCCTTTGCACCAAAAGTTAGCAGGTAACAATCATTCCCTTTTCACCTTAGCTGCATTAAAATGATGAATAGATTGCATTTATAATTACCACAAGTGAAATTTTTGTGAGCTGAGCACTTCTTAAAAATGTAGTGGCAATCCTTAAAAGGCATTTACGGAAATGAGATATAGGAGCATTAGGTACACAACAAAAACTAACATAAAAAGAAAATAATGAGAAAAAATGCAAAATAAATAAAAATAAAATGCTCTAAACAAATTGTGGCTGTAACAATGGTAACAATTGACTTCAATAGGAAAGCAAAAATAGGTATCAATATCTTTCTGAGGGTAGAGAGAGACATTCAGATTAAATTCTAATATTTTTTGGAAACTACTTAAATATGAGAGAAACATGTTCCAAAATGTTTCCTTACTTATCAAGGAATTAAATTACCCAGCTCTCTATGCATGTTTCAAGGGAAAAAACTGTACAATCTACAATATTTACATTTTCTCTTACCTTAATTATCTCGCTTCTCTTCTTTCCTAAACTCTTAAAGATCTATCATTATAATGTACAATTAATACTTCCATAGTTTCCTTTCACTAATTTATACAGTTGAAATCGAGATTTATTAAGATGAAGCGAAGGAAATCACTTTTGAGAGAAAAGAAAAAGAACAAGGGGTATTCCTTTACATGCAGTGACAAAAAATCCATGTAATGATATATCTGAGTTTTGACAGCTGACCATTGTAACCAATTCTAGCTTAAAATCAGCACTACTTACCAGAATTGCAAAATTATGTTACTTGGTGAACAATAAAATTGTTCACTTTTGATAATTTGATGGCTCAAACATTGTACTAAGGCCTTCCGACTAAGCACAGAATGATTGTAGAACACAATCAATTCAGAGCAGTTTTCACTGCTATACAGATAAAAATGGCAGGCACACTCATCACGAAGTGACACGATAGTTTTAGGAACACTTTTTACAACCTCATTTTTCTCTACTTTGGAAAAAAGTTACATAAATAAATAAACTAAAAAAGATAAAAAAATGGAGTAAAAATTACGAAAAATAAATAACTGATGATAAAGAGGAAAATTACTTACATTTATATGTTTGGAGTAACTTTCTTACATTATGGCTTAAGTATTCCTAAGTACTTAGTTTTTGCATTTGGTGGCTCAGTTCTAATGGGGTTGGACCAGCTGCGGTAATATTGGTGGGGTGTGATGATGAAGGCGCATCTCCAGCACCACATAAGGCCCCGCTCTCAGGTTCTGCTTTGGAGGTAACAGACTTGGCGATTTTCACTGCACCATTGCTTCCAACATTACTGCTATTCCCTGTGTTACTGTTGTTGTTGTTGGTGAAATTAGTGTTGTTGTTATTGTGGTTGACAGTGTTGCTATTCTTGGTACAAGTGGTACTACTATCATCGTAACTCCCAGTACTGTTATTGTTACTTGAGGAAACCTAAAATATAAAATGAGAAAAAGAAGACAAGACTTGTTAACACGACTTGGCAGATTTTTTATTATTGACACGGGTTAGTTAGGAAGTCATTTCCACCGTATGTGACAGTCGATGAGAAAAGGGACATTCTACAAGGCACATGAAGGAACTGCTCTGAGGAAAAAATAAAAAATCCGAAAAATTCTGTTCCTTTCAATAAATTCTGAAACTGTGGGCAAGGTGAAGTGTTACTTCGATAGCATTGTGCTGTTTGTTGGACATGGAATACACAATCAAAAAAATGTTAGCGATCAGTTAGTCACAATAATTTCTCTCCAACTTGACCGATTTTCATAAAGAAGGTCTTATTGTAATCATGGTTTATACTGAAGACAGAAACATGTGTAAAATAAATTTAAATTTGGTTTGGTTGGAAATTTTAATTGGCCCTATTCGCACAAATTTAGGGTGAGTAATAGAGTTCATGTGAACTTAAAACTCGGTTTGGGTGTCACTGGTGCCAGTGTTGGCATAATATCGGCAAAGGCGGCTGGGTAAATCCACATCAATTGGACCGCGTTTAGCAGAAAAGAACCAAGCCACATCAGCTATTGCCACATTTAGCTAGGCAATGTAATGTTTTACAAGAGGACGCTGGTGCGGACTTCTTTGAAAATTTTAGAGAATTCGTTTCGCACTATGCAGAAACTTCACTGTCATTTACATAAAAATCCGCACAATCGTTTTCATGTAAAAAATTAAACTACCCAACTAAGTTTGGCAATAGCTGATGTGGCTTGATTCCTTTCTGTTTGACGCGGTCCAATTCAACACCCAAATATTGATTTTGACACCCACCATCTCAGATAATCATCAAATTTTTTTTTACATGATCAATGCACCAAAATAAGAAACTAATTTGAACTGTGGGTGAAAACGAATTTCTGAGGCCATATTCGAGTTTTTCAGCTCAAATTACGTGAGAATTGATGTATCACACATGGATGAATGGACACATGAAAATGAGGGAATTCAAGGACTTTTCAGAGCACAAACCCAGTTTAACCTTCTTTCTTCCTTATTCATCATTTTAAAAATCAACCATTGAGTTACATAAGATTTAGAATCTATTTTAAAGGCAAGAAAATAGATTTGACCAATTCAATGAAATACAATTTATGTAGACAAAGTGAAAACTCGGAACAATGATGAACTGAAAAATACTCACAGGAATGTAGACATTTTGTCTCCGGCAGGAAGGCCCCGAAAAGCGGCGGCTGGCTGCAATTTGAGGAGGTGGCAGAGGAAGAAAGTGTGGGGGGTAGTAACCAAATCGAGGGCAATACGGCGGCAGAAACCTAAAATTAGGAGTTGAGACCAGAGGACGTACTTTCGGATACCGCGGTAAACGAGGACTGTTACGGGTTTGATTGGATACATCTGCCGTCTTCACAGTATAACTACTGTTAGCAATGTAGTTGTTGTTATGGTTGATGTTCTGCTGCTTAGGAACGTTAGGATTTGAAGGCCTTCGGGCCTCAACATTGTAGACGTAAGGTACAAAATTCCTGATTCGGGGATAGTTATCGGAGTAGCCGTTGATGGTCGAGGAGAAAGGGTGCCGTGCTGTTGGTGGCCTTGAGAAAGGATTGAACATAACTGGATAGACTGTGGCAGTGGTTGCTTGTTCGGTACTATTCTCACTCATATTGATTTGTTTGTCATTGACAGTTTTCGTACACTCGTATCTTTCTGAACACTGTAGCCAGGATACTACTGGTGTTACTGTGCTTGTTACAGGTGTTGGAGTTTGAAACAAATCATTTGGTTTGGTCTCGGATGAAGTGGTGCTGGTGGTGTTTTCATGCTCTGCTTTTGAGCACAAGGAGCCCTGAAAAAGATAAAATTGAAACAAATTAAAGATACAAAGAACTGACGATGGCAAGAAAGTAAATGTTTTAGAAGGTAGGAGTCAGATTTAGGCAGTCTTCTCTTCCCCTCTCCTCCTACCTTGCTTGGCGAGAGCAGTGGAGACTTAAATAACCTTCCCTTTCGGACCAAGATCACCGATCAGCTGATAGGTACCATTTTGCCAATTAGTCAATGCTTCGTGTCACTCTTGACTGGTTGCCAATTTTGGTTGATTTTTTGGTTCCACTCGGTTTTCTTACTTTTTCTTTCATCTTGCCTATGTAGTTTTTCTCTTTCCTTTATGATCTTTGTATGTATTTCCATCATGTTGTCCTTCGTGTTTTTGAAGGGATCAGTATTGTTTCAATCTCTACAAGTACGTCTCCGCATTCTGCTGTCTCGCCTTTTTGGAGGCAATCACTGGTCCTCAAAGGTTTTTTCTTTTTAGCTGTCCAGCTGAATTCCAGCCTCCCACTCAAGCTCTTTATTTTATAGTTGGCAGAATTCTAGTACACAGTAAATGTCTCTGTGTTTTTCCATCAAGCAGTTATAGAACCGGGTACATTCTTAGTTTTCTTCTTGGTGGCAATGTACCGGTGGTGAAACAGCAGAACTGCGTACCTTCGTTCGCAGCATTACAGACGTCCCAACATACTTCATTTTCGACATCAAAATCACTACACGTAATTTCTTGAAAATTTTAGCGATCCTCCATGAGAGGAATATTCTGTGAAAATTGCAAGCCGTTACGTTGGTTTGGTCTCCTTTTGAAAAATAATATATTGACCAAGATTTTGAAACACCTCAACCGAGTTAAGCATTTATGCAGTTCCACCATCAATAGGACTGCATGATGCAATTTGGAGCTATAAATTCTGGCTCTTCTGAAAAGACACGTATGTGCATAGGAAAACTGATGGCACATACGTTGTTTTTAAACCAGGCCAGAGTTTATAGTTCCTAATTGCAAAATGTAGTCCAATATTGGGCAATCTTGTTCGGATTGATTTTTCAAATTTTTTGCTTAAACAACTGTAAAACATGAGTATAATGTCTCTTGGACATAATTTTACACAAAATGAACTGCATTGACGGTATGACACCAGAAATTTAGGGAAAAAGTATAGACCTTCTCTTGATTTCTTTTCACCATAGGGCTTATTTCGATGAGTCAGACAGGACACTAATTAGTATGTATAGAATGATCATTATTTTTCATTATTGTTGCATATCAAATGTTGAGAAAATCAATAGATCTAAATTTCCTAGGGACTAGTTTATCTTAAAAATAAATAGATGAAGAATTAACTATTAATTACTTTAATATTATCATGGATGCGAATAATTCCGTTTATTTTGGTTTTATCTGCCTGGTAAAGAATCAGTACTAATTAAAAAGGGCGAAAGTTCAATTTTTCAATTTCGTGCTGTTTTTATTTATTTATTTTTTCATTTACCACACTCTTTTTTAATTTGCCTTCCTGTGCATTCATCACCGGTATTCTATGAAAAGAACTACCACTGTTTTCTTAAGTAATATGGTAAGGACAACTGGAGAGTTTAATAATGCAAAAAAAAAAAAAAAAAAAAAAAAATTTTGAAAAATGGACTTTAGCCCTTTTTGAAAGTACTGATTCAAATTCTCTGCGCTTTTTTGAGCATTAAAAACCATGAATTCCTTAGAGTTTCCATGCTTTGGGCTTTGTCCCCCAGGTTTTGAATCTAATCTAATCAAAGAACCGTGTATTCCAAAAATAGACCAAGTGAAGCAACTCTGAAGCAACTTTTTGAACTTACCTCAGCGGATATATTGCTTGGCGGAGATTCAATTGTTTGGATTTCATTATACGGGGGGAGACTCTCAACGGCATTGACAGGATATATACTTTGAGCAGAGTAGTGGACATCATGAAGAATGTGAGGGGCAGCATAGATGGAACCAGTTGGCGCAGAAATTAGTTGAACAGTTTGTGAGCTACCGGAATCTCCAACAGTTACAAGCGAAGAGTTTTGAGCGGAGGTTGTGTTGTTGATGTTGGTTGGTCCAGCCCCAGCAGAATACATTATGCCAGAGCTCTGACTTGCTACCTGATAATAAGAATCAAACTACATTTGGGATTAATCAAGTCTCGTACTTAAAATTAAGGTCAAAATTTAACTATGCTTTTTTTTATTTTTAATTCCAATGGACCTCTCGGTAGAATGAAAATGGATCACTAGTAAAAGGAAGACATCAAGCACCACGACACATAATTCTTCATCAAAAATCCACAGAAACATAATAGATTAAAAATGTTTCAACTTGTGAGAAAGGCCTTTCTGTGTTCATCAATTTGATCTTCCTGTTTACCACAGAATTAAAAGTTTACTCAAGTTGAAACCTATGTTTATATAGGTTATTCTGTGAGGAAGAAAATTACTTTCCTGATTCTAATGTGAACTAAAATACTTCTCTTCCCTTGAAAGCTTCTGATACATGCAACAGCAAGATTCTCGAAAATTAAACATGGTCTGTATAAAATTTTAATGATATATGTCTTGGTGCTTCAATTCTCACGTTGTCTTGTGGTGTTATCCTTTCATGTTTACATGAAATTGAATTTCTTAGTAAGTAATTAAACACATCATGACTTTTGGATTGAAAATTATGAGGAGAATCCATCAGTATTTTCTGTTCGAGCATGCACTACGAGGCTATGAAAATGGACTTTTTCAGGCATGCCGTAATCCAATTCTAGCACACACTTGTTGAGGTCATTTCAGATAATTTTTGAGGTTGATCTAAAATTTTAATGCTACGTATACTTTTAACACACCTCTCATGGTTTTCAGTAGAAAATTTTGCAAGAAGCAAAGACTCGACGAAAATTAGGACTGAACCAATTTATTGAGAGGTACATTGGGCCTGCAATCCTGATTTGTTGGGTGTCAAAGCATGCTTTTCAGGCACAGTTTATCCCTTAAGCCTGAGGGAGTAGGCAGACTACAAAAAATTATTGAAGAGGGAGACAATCCTGAAAATACACCGTTCAGACTCGGCAATTTAGTCATGGAGGCAATTCGAACATGATTGTAAAAGTGGTCAATCGCTGAGCCGGCTTTTTACTGGAGCCGATGAACATGTTGACAGCGATTCTACCGTAAAGTGGTTTCCCTGAAGAGACATATATCAATGGCCAAAAACCAAAACCACACAACTCCATTTGCGATGTTGCAGACTTCCTGTCATGCTTCATTTTTTCTTTGAATAATTAGACCGAGTAGATTCTCAAAAATTTCCTAAATTTTTCTTCTGTATTAGTGGAATATATTCTGTATAAAGTTCAAGCTGTAAAGTTATCTTGTTTCTCTTCAAAAAAATAAAATAGGAGCGGAAATTTTGAAACACCGCGATGGAGATACGGGGGTTTACGACTTAGGCTTTAGATATATTTGTGAGCCTTTTTCATGAAATTGTGGTCATCTAAAGACTAATAATACTCAAAATCATAATACGAATGAAAAGTTCATCAAGATACATTAGCAGCCTTTCAGCTAACCTCCAAGGAATTTCTACCTCAATATATTAAATATTGGCACTTGCATTTTGATATTTTAACAGATAAGTATTCCTAGAGCTTTCATGCAAGAATATTAATTCAGGACGTATTAGTCAAGAAGTCTTTAATGTCACCATTAAAACTCCATGCTTTCCTAAAATATATAAGATTCTAGACTAACTCGAGCTATGAATAGAAGCTGTACAAATTTTATCAGAGGGTGATGTATGAAGTTTAAGTATTGGCTAAATCTATAACCTGAGTGCAAAACCGCAAACTCCGTTTGCGAAATTGAAGGCTTCCTGTTGTACTATATTTTTTATTTGGAAAATCAGTCGACATAATTTCCAAAAACTTCCTTCGTTTTTTTTTTTTCTTGTCTGTTGGCGGAATATTTTGTATAAATTTCAAGCTAAGAAGTTGGCTTCTTTTTCTTTTTGGGAGCAGAAATTTTGAGACTACACAATGGAGATCTGTGGTTTCGCACTTTGGTCATCGATATAAAAGTCATTTCAGTACAGAAAGATAAATAAATGGTACTTTCTAGCTGATAATTATCAAACCACTTGCAAAAACCAAGACCACAGAGCATGATAAATGGAAAATTGTACATGCATAAGCATTGTTCTGGGTAATGGAGTATTAAGCTGCAGTAAATAACGATGGGAAAAAAGTTACGAGAAAACCATTCTTTTGTTTCTTGGACGTTTTGCTACAGTTAAGAGAGAGATAGGAAACTGGCAAAACCATCTATTGTAATCGAGTGTATTTTTCTAACAATTGAGCTTTTTGGAGGATGTAAGTATTAGTAGGATGATTTTTTTAAATATTTTTGACTTCTATCAAAGGATGAGTTTTTGAATTTAAAGGGCTATATGAGTGGTTTTTGCAACTCACATAAGGCTCTTAGATAAAATGATTATTTACTTGCTGTTTTCAAAATTCACTGACTTCAAGTATTTCTGGCACAAAAATGCATTTAACAAAACAAAGCAAATTCAAAATACAAGCTCTTCTGATAAAAAGCAAGAGGGCAATTGGAGCCGAATGAAAGTTTCAACCAAACCTTTCACTCAATTCGGATATCAACTTCTCTATTGAAAGCGTGGTTTTTTCCAAAAAGAATCCTGCTTTCATTTCTCTGAATTTTGCCACTTTATTGGTTTAAAATGATTTTTGAGGCTCATGCACACGGGCTACTGTCCTTTTTTTGGGTTAGAATTTAAAATCTCCGGAGATTTTTGACTTAATCAACGCGACATATTGCTAGCCAGTTGAACCACGCCAGAATCCAGGACGAATCACTTTCATTAACAAAAAAAAATTAAACCATAAATTTGAGCCTAGCTACGTAACTTGTAAACTAGCAACATGCAAACAACTGAAAGGGCCAAAAAACATACAGGCCACTGCATAATAGGAGAATAAAATATTTTCTGCAAACAGTGTTGTGGTATCATACGAATTTAATGCAAAGTATCTTCTTCAAATGTTGAAGCTGGTAAAGATAAAACAAGATTGCACCGGAGCATGCATACATAATAAAGGTTTCCTTCAGGTTTTTTGCGAAAGGATACTGGATAAAGCGTAATTTCATTGCAAAATTGGCTTTAGGATACAGGGTTCTTTTAAAAACGTTTGATTAAAGTTGGGAACTACTATTTGAAGACTTCTGCAGGCTAAGAAAGGTGGAAGATAGTGAGAGTATGGAAACTTGGCCCCACAGAAGTCCATGAAGCCTAAAAAATAGTTTGACTTCAGATGAGAATAGGATTGTTTCTAACTTTCAACAGTTATCATTTGCTGCGATTGCTTCTACCTTTGCCACATTAGACATTATGATGAAAAGATTTTTCTCGGATTTAATGCAAAAAATTGGTTTTATAAGTTTATAAACTAAGTGTATAATTTCCACTGATTAAATTTTGGTTTAATTATTAGTGTGAACTGATTGCAGTTCGACGCACGTGTCATTTAGAAAGAGTGTTGGTGATGCTGCTAGCGTTTTTTTCAGTATAAAACTTATATTCTCATTTTAGAGAGAGAAAGCCAAAGTTTTCTCTAATAAGAGTTATGCTCTTTGGTGCAAAACACTTTTTACAAACAATCAGGCAGACGTGTTTTGGGTCTCACCACCAAAGCAGCATAAGTTTTATACTGAAATTAAATAAACATTGGTAGAATCACCAACATTAAGTACCAAATTTTCAACAAACATGTAGGATATAATGTCTGCATTGATCAAATTTTAAATGTTTCTACACACTGGATTGACAAGTCATAGAGAAGACAAGTTAGTCCGTAGGATTGTGCTTAGTTCTTTTGAGACAGATGGTTTACTGACAGCAAGAGTCTGCTCTCCACCTCATGAAAGGAAGAAAATAGAGGAGGGGGCTCCTTTGTAAAATGATCACCATTTCTGCAAATCATGAATTAAGGAAGGGTAAAGCTAATTCGAGCGACAAGCAAGAGGGAAGGAGGGTGAAAAAGGGAAAGAGGAAAACGGTATGCATGAGTAATGAGGAATCGTTCCATAAATACTGAAGGAAAATCAAAGCCATAATACAAAAACGAACGGATGAAAGATAGATTAAACTATTTTAGCTAAATTCAATATCTGAGGCAAAAAAATATGAGAAGAAAACACAAAGTAACTTAAGACCATGAGGGATGGGATAAGACTAAAGGATAAGACTCTTAGCGAAAACTCGTTGCCCCTAGTGGTTAGAAAAAATTATTTCATTGACTCGTGTACTTATTGAATAAGTGGCTTCAAGACCTTATTTGATACTTTTCTCACAGATTAAAAACGTCAAGGGTGATGTCAAGATGAAAATGTCAAGGCTCTATTAACATTAATTCCAGCTTAATAAAACAAAAATAAGCTGTCTTTTAGCTAACAAATGTAGTGAAAAGGACTCAAAACACAGATGGTGTAAATTTCACATGAAGAATTTCATAGGTGGCAGCTTTTAATAAAACAGCGGAGTAGAGGTAAAACTAATAATACCTTCCATATTTTTAACATCTTCAAATTCAAGAATACCGGTCAAGGGAATGACAAGAAGGATCAATTATGAAGAGGCAAGCACTCGAGATAGTTCTTTCTACACTGTTCTAAAATTTTCTTATGCAATATCAGAAAATAGTCTAGAAGAATATTGTTTCACAGAAAACTTCGATTTTTTTTGGAAATGTTTTAAATTTCTAGGTTCTGTCTGATTTGTTTGGCAAGGGATTTTTCTTTTACTTTAGAGCCCTCCAAACACAAAAATATTAACACCAATAAGGAACCCCTCCTACAACTATCCTTCTTTTCTAAAGAAAAAAGGAAAAAAGAAAAATGTAAAACTATGATAAAAATTAGAAATTATTTTGTAAAAATGAGTTTCATCACGATCTTTAAGAATTACACAATGATGGGGACCTAACCCTATAATGTTCCTGGCAGGAAAGGGAGCGGATTTTGCAAAAGAATAATTTGAGTAAAGATACTTCTGAACTGAACAAGCAATCGAGCAAACAAGATTAATGTCAATTGTCCAAACCTGAATGAGAAAATAGGATTTGATGAGTGAAAATAATAATTTAAAGGAAATCTAGAATAGAACTGGAATTGTATCGATAAGTAAATGATAAGCAGGTTGTGGGAAGTGCGAGACGGGTTCCAGCGGAGATGGAGCTGGCACTGAGTTCTGCAATAGAACAATCCAGCCGTTACAAAATTATACTTTCAGTTTTAAAACTGAGATACAGTTACAGCACTACAGGGCCAGAATAAAAGTTATGAAAATCGAAAGAATAAAAGCAAACTCACTGACACATAGATGATCAAAATGTTTAACAGACATGCTTCCGAATTCCAAAAGCCCTGAGCCCAACATATCTTCCAAAACATCATAATCATTGACGTATAAATGAGTTCGCTTTTCTTCTTTTCATTTTCATACTTAATTTCTTGTACATTTTTTCACTATGATCCTGGATTAGGATGAAGAGTAGATTTTCGGAACATGTAATGTAGCTCAATTGGACATAAGTTGCACATTAACTTCAAGATTGATATTTATTGGGCTGCAAAGAAGAACATGATGAACATGTTCATCACACAGGAGGTTTTTTCCCCTGCTTTCCTTGACCCAGCAAGCAATGCACATGAAGCATTTATAATTTATAAAATTCGGGCTGTGTTTTTTATTAATCAAATCAATTTGATAAATCATACAACATTTTAAGACTTCTAAATGTGTTGTAAAATACATATATCTTTCAGCTTCTAAAAAAACAATGAATGTTTGCTAGTTTATTTGAATAACTCTAAAAAAAGGCCTGTGTTTGGTTGCAGGCTATTTTAACTTTATTCATTGATAAATTTCAATTTTTATATAGCGCTCCGTCTTCTTTCTTTTGGACTGCATAATTTTTAGATTGATATAGCAAAATTAACAAGTTAAAGGGAAGTCCTCCGAATTAACATTTGAGCTTAGCACAAAATTTGCTTGAACCGACACTCTTGATTGAATTTCGATGTGAGAATTTTTTTCTTTATCCTTTTTTCTTTCACTTTAAAGCTTTCTTAACTTTCACTCTTAGTTTTTACCGATTGATTTTAATTACATTGGATAAGTTCCGCTGCTTTCAATTTCCCCTTGAATTGGAAAAAAGAAAGACATGTGAATCTAAACGTAACCTAAAAGTCATGAATAAAATTTGTTTAAAAAATATTTAAAGAAATCTTTCACAGAAATAGCGATGAAAACATATTGGAAGCCAGTCCACACTATTCCAGTGTGCTTTTTGATTTCTTTTTGTGAAGACACGTGTGCACGATAAGCGAGGGTTTTTCCTGTAATCTTGTGGCACAAATATTCTGTTCCTTTGAAAATATTTGAATGCACATTAGAGTGTTTGGGCCAAAATTACAGCTGTAAGCAAGTCTCATTAAAAGTTAGAATCTGATGTTTTCGGCACTCCACATAAAATATCACAAGATGAGAGTAAATTCGCACAAGGTTTATCTACTCATACTCGTTTGTGGGCTCATTGTTTGGAATAGATTCTTTCAACATTTGCCCATTCCCATCAATGAGCACAATAGGAAATTGATACCTTTGTCGTTCCCCTCACGAAGAGAAATATCTTGTCAGCGCCATTTTGATATTTCTGCAAACATTTTATTTTGTTAAGGGAGAACCATGATAAAAAAAAATTCAGAACATTTTAGTGTCCAACTTCAGATGAGAAAAATTCCTGCCATCTCAGGCAAATTCATGTGACGGCTCTCCTGTAAGAAAATAATGCTACAGAGAGATACTGAAACAACGCAATCTGGATACATTTCTTCTTGCGAGAGACGACGAACCTTGATTGGTTTTCCAGGAATAAAATGGTATTACTTCACCAAAAGTAAATTTTTCAGAAATCGTAACAGCTATGCTGGTGTAGCCAAATGAGGAACACGAATACACCCAACTTTCAAATATAACAAGAAAAGAAAAACCCAAATCAAGAAAACAAAGAGACAGTATTGCACAAATGACATAAAAATTGGGGGAGGTGTCAAAATTTGGATGAAAAATACCCGGAAGGATCATCAATCACAAAAGACACAAAAATAATAACCTCAAAAAGAAAACCCCATCACCTGAGTAACACTAAAAAATAAGAGAAGAAGAATGGAAAAAGCATGCCATACGTTTTCAAGTATTTTTTCTCATGTTGTCTGCCTTGTTTATCTGTAAGTGTATTAATGATTTCATCGAAAAATAGAAAATAAAGAAAAGATACGAAGGACAAACAGAAAAACAAAGAACCCTCACAAAGTTTTGAAAACACGAGAACAAAGTCAATGATCAAACAAAAGGTAAGGCTAGAAGAGTACTTACAGGCAATGGTTGATAAGCGTACTGTTGGGTGGGTAAATAAACCGGAGGCGGGGGATTGGGAGGGCACGGGTGGTACATCATAGCTGGACCGAACGATGGTGCCGCTGTGCTACCATGTGGCGGCCCAAAAGTTCCTAGCAAACACAAAAAAAACATATGTGACATACCGAAACATTAAGAGGACACACTGTAATTCAAAGCAACCATTGACTGAAAGGGTTCTACTGGACAAGTTTCGAAAAAAACAACCTTGCTTTCATTGAGTGCTATTCCAGTGATAATGACTGATATTTGGGGGTTGGTTCAGATGTGTTCTTGCAAAAGACAACAAGCGGCGTTCAAAGCGATAAAGGCACTTCCAAGAAAATGCCATCATACCCTATGCAAAATATATATGCATTCCTTGTACCCTGTGGTACAAATGTACTAAAAATAGCTTCAAATGGAGACATTTTAACTACAAGGAAGGTGATATGTTGATGGCAGGACAAATATTTCACGTGCATGTGGACTATAGTAGACGTCAGCGTGAGGACTGAGCCTGAAAATTTCTAAATCAAACAAATGGATATCCTCATTGACTCATAAAAGAATATGGACAAGAAATAGGTATTAAAACTACTTATCCATATCTATCTGTGCATACTGAGCATTTGTGATTATGTACAAAAAGTATGAAATGCACATATCATTGAGGTGCGATCAAGGAACCTAAATCAAAAATAAAGGTTGTAGATTCTTCTAAGGATAAAATTTTGAAAAGATCATCGAAATCTCCTGAACTTGAAATACCCTTTGAACTTCGGAAGTATTAGGACAGTATTGTTGTTGAAAAGCCTTCAAGGACTTTTCAAGTCGAAAAAATTTCAGGGGCATCTTGAAATTTTAGTCTAAAAGATCTGTCAAAGGTAAATATATGATGGCCTCAAAGAGTAAAGCCTTGGATACCAATTTTAAAAATAGCATAAATTATACCCAATCTCCCAAATACTTCAAGTTTACCAGCCTCTCTAAAAAATCTGATAAATCCTAAATATGAAATCTGATGAAAAACTGATGAGCTGTGCTAGCCATAGGGGCACTCGGGTGCTGCTTTTCCTTTCTTTCAAATTTTTGTCATTTGTTCCTAGTACTTGCTCTGGTTAAAAATGAATCTCTTCTTTCATTGAAATAGCTAAAGGATGCATAGTGTTAGTTATTTGACAAAAATAAGATTTTATGAAAATTAACTTTGAAACATTCAATCGACTGATTTAGTGACCACATCATTTGATGTAATATCAAACCTTTGGTTCAAATGTAAACAAACACAGAACCTTGTTTCTGATTTGCACCCTTTCCGTCATGGTGGTAAAATGTGTCTAAGTGTATCTAACTATCAAAATTTCTTGTTTTTATTATGATTTATTATGATTGATTTATGACCGGCCAATGACTAAATTCTAATAAATTAACACAATTAACTCATGAAAAATGAGAACATGAGATTATGTTGGTTTGAACCGAGAGTTCGATATTATATCGAATGACATAGCCACTAAAGCAGTCTATTGCTGATACATCTTTTGTTTGTTCTAGGAAAATATTGGAAATGGTTGTTCTTAGAAGATATTGTAAATGGTGAGTTATCTCGTAAGAAAGTGTTCTTCCACAAGTAAGCTCACCTTGATACATACTGACTGACTCTGGATGTGCTTGAACTGGAGCTATGGCGTTTGTTGGAGGATTACCCGGTGAGAAGAATGCCATGCCGTTTTGATATGTGTACTGAATACCATTGTGGTAGTAAACATTTGGTGGCATAGTTGGTGATGTTGAGGAGGCATCAAAGGACCTATTGTACGGTTGTAAAATGCACACCTGTGAAATTTAACAAAGAGATTAGGATTCAAGAGTAACATTTACTTTCTAAAATGAAGGAAACGTCCATCCAAAAATGATAACTAGACACAAGTGAACTGCTAAATTCAATGTTTACAAATTATAAGATAGAGGCAGGTGGCTGCTTCACTGAAATCAGGACTTTAAATCAATGAGATGGGGTCACCCTGAAATGCTTGAATGTGAGGAAGCAAAAATATTAGGGAATGAATACACACTATTTTTGTGCAGTCCAGGCACATGAATCGTTCCAATTCTACTTCTCGTTTTCCCTCTAGCATTTCTATGACAATTCAGTTTTTTCTTGCAAGCAGCAGTATGTTTAGCAGAGAAGGGGTGGGAAGGTGAGAGCTCAAATCGGGGGAATAACATAAGAATTGAAAAAAAAGCGGAGAGTTGTTTTAAATTGGAGATGACAAGGTGCAGAAAGTTCTCTGCCTTCACATTGCCGTTCATAAAAGACTCCTTTCCTTTTACATTGTTGGAGACAGATATCACACTGCTGTCTACATGAGACTGCATGCTCCAACATTTTTGTCGCATAAAAGAGCACACTGCAAAGTTCCCTCCGCAAAAAGTGATGCGCTTAGCAGTATTCTTTGAAAAAATAATGTAATGCAGTTGCAAAGAAAAGAGAGATGCAGTGCATTCACCAATTAAACACTTACAAACCTATTAAGACAGTTAGGAGAGGGGCCTGTAATTTTCCTGCCATGCGATGACAAAAAGGTGAGTGTTAGCACTATGTCTTTGCATTTTATGATAAGTACAAGTTTTTTTTATTAATTGGATTGGGGCTTAGAGCAAGCCTCAGAACATCAGAGTAATTCGTATACAACGTAGCATCAACTCTTTACTCTGTACTGTATTACTTTGTTCATCATGCAGATGTTAAGTGACACTAGCTATTAGGAGCTCCAGAAGGTGTATGACCTAGAAAGAATTTGATCTATTCTGACAAAACTTTTGGATACATTTTCGAATTCATATTAGAGTCTTAACTCACAGATCAAGAAATTATCTAACCTGCTTTTTGATGGCTGCTGCAATATTTAATCTCCGCCCTTGGAAATTTACATCGTCAGCCTGAAAAAGAGCAGAAATTGGAACTGATTACTTAAAACCTCCTGATCCAAATTATCCAGAATTCCCTGTGTTTTTCCGCTTTTCTCTGACTTCAAAATTTTCAAATGCTCGACTTTTCTTGACCTTCGAACAAAATTTCCACTCTGATTTTTCCCTCCCAAGTACACTGACTGCGACTAAACTTCACTGGTTCTTTGAATACCTTGACTTTTCGTATGAATTCCCTGACATTTCAAAGTCACCAGACCACCAGAAACCCCGCATTTTTCTAACTTGAAAATCCAGTGCAAAAAAAGAATAAAAAGAGGGGTCTACAAAATGATTTTGAACGAATCATAAAAGAATATAGGATTACAGAACTCTCCTATCACTTTTGCACTTTTCAGCAAACATAGCAGGATTCAAAGACTTGATATTGCAAAAAAATCTACTTAAACCCTTTGAAGTCGTTATGAGATCCTGTTATTCCAAGTGAGAAAAAACATATGAGCACACTTAGAAACATTGATTCACTTCATGGTCACTATCAGGGTGTCTACTAAAACAGGCTGGCCAGAAATCGGTACTTTTACAGTACTTTTCCGGTCTATTCCTGAGAAATTCAGTACCTCCTCAACGAGAAATTCAGTACTTTTTCAGTACCTCTAATTGACGAAATTTGAAAATTTTCAAAAATTTGAATTTCTCGCTCAAATTGCCACAAAAATGTCAAAAATTCCGGACCTTCTCGCAAAATTCCCCAATTTCTCAGTACTTCCGGACTGCCCTTAAAAAATCAGTACTATATTCAGACTTGTAGACACCCTGACTATATTAGCATTATTATGAATACACTCTTGTTCCTAACATGCATTAATATCTGCATCAACTTACAGCTTGTTGAAGTTTATTGGCTTCCTCCTCGGAGTCAAACGTTACGAATCCGTAACCCTTGGATATGCCACCTCTATCTACGATAATTTTTACATCCTTCACTTGGCCATACTTGGAGAAAAACGCGGTTAGTTCAGCTTCAGTGGTTGTCGATGCTATGCCACCGACAAAGACGCGATTCGGAATCACAACACCATTCTTGGGCGCATTAGCAGTTAAATGTGGGTAAAATGGTGCACCGGCTGCATTGTTTAGAGAGGCAGTGACAGATGGAGAAGAAGCATTACTAGAGCCGTCACTGTTACTGCCACAACCCGTCTGGAAGAGAAAGTTAAAAAAATAAAAATAAAAAATAAGAAAAAACGGAGGTTCAACATGCCTGTAAACTTAGTTCAGTTTCAACAAGTTTTCATTGTTTTGAAAAATCAATATCTTCCGAGATTTTCGGTGCTCCTTCAGACTTTAACCCGTTTTTGCTGATTGACAATGAACTGTTCCAGGGTGTCTAGTTTTTTTTTCATTTTGGGAAATCCTGATTTTTGACTGCTAAATTCTGATTTCATAATTTTTCTGAATCCTGATCAAATCCTAATTTTTGGCAGAGAAACATTAACGGACTGATAATGGATAGTTAACGAAAAATAAGAGACAGCCGACTTTTCTCAAATCCTGATTTTACGACCGATTTTTCCTCAAATCCTGATGAAATCGGGACTATATGACTATATGATTGACTTCAAATCCTGATGGAATCGGGAAAATCCTGATGCTAGACACCCTGTGTTCAATTCAATACTGAAGCCAATCGGGCAGCCCTAACTCTAAGTTTTAGCAAGGCATTACTGAAAACTCATGTTTCAAACATTTACTTGTTAAAATGATATTTTTTAGGGTTTCCTTATTTTCTCTGTCCGTCACTAACTAATCCTGATCTCAGTCATCCCTGACAATTTTAAAAGAATCTCAGGATACGCATCTGAAATTTTCTTGTTTTGGTATTAGTTTTTGAACAAAGTGAATACCTTTCTTGATCCGCAAAAATTTGTGACTTTTCACAAGCTTTGAAGGGCTTCTCTTTATCTCCCACAATCTATGGATCATAAATTGGATTACTGAATAATATCTTACTTACCTTCCGTTTGTTTGTGATTGAAGCCATTCTGTTGCAATCAAAAGAATTTCGTTGTGAGACCAAGATAAGGTGATAAAGGGTTATCAGCTACTTCCAACATAACTACAATAAAAGGAAGAAGAAAATTAGGTAAAATACAAATTAAGATCCAAGTATTCAGAGTAAATGAATTCTATTATGACTGCAACAGAGCAACTGTAACTTTCTTTGCCAATTAAACAAGGATACGGATACTGACAAAAAATCATGAATTTTTTCCTTCTCAGCCTTAGAATTTCAATACTGTGATTTTAATTAAATTATCCTTTGCAAATGGGTTTAGATAAATTATTGACTTCGATTTTCAAACAGCTTGAATGATACAGAATTTAATTTTGTTAGTGTATGGAAATACACTATATTTCATTTATTTTAATAAATTATGCGAATGCGATCGACAGTTGCTCTTGCTTCAGAGTTCCATAATATTTTGCAAATGCCACGAGCGCACCTAAAGTGTGAATGAATCTAGACTGTGAGTGGCCAAGGTATTAAAATTATTGTTTCTGCTGTGTGCGAATATGAGCATCTTCATGAAACAACAGGTAAATGATTAAGCAATATTGCTAACCCTGCGTAGAAATTTCCCAATTCCCTTTGTCTCTTTACCTACTTATCTCTGCGTCAAAGCAATGAATATCATGAGAATATAATTGTGAACTTCAACATTCTCAAAGGGACTTAATTTTTTTTTTTTTTTTTGCTTAATCGATCGAGATAATGTTGTTGAGACTGGTCAGATTAATCCAGTAATTGCCATTACAACCCTCTGGGCAGTGATCTGTTCTAGTAGCACTATAGGAGGGTTAATCAACATCAATAACAATCAGCACTAAAACTGACTGAGGATGGTTTGCGGTATCTTGGTCAATGGAGAGGGAGACAATGAGACCTCCCTTGTACTCGCAGTCGATTTGGTATCGGACATTTAAATACCTCATTTAATACATTCTACAGTGAGAGGGTGTGATACCTTAACCAAAAAAAAGAGGACCACCCCTTAACTGCTGGATTTAGAGAGTATATTGCCGTACTTAATAGATACCACCATTTTCAAACCAACGTCAGATTCGGGGAATGTAAAAACGGGTGAATGTTTAGCAGCTTGCAGATCTGAGGTCTTGAACCTAATAGAAGTTGATTATTGAATTCAGGATGCACTGATTAAACTGAGTCACCAAGTAAACAATGCGTGACTTACTTCCAAAAACTATGAAAGGAGGGATGGATAGGAAAACATAAATTCACATTACCATTGGGGTAAAAACTGTGGAGTTCAGAGATATTTTACTGGTATTTGCATTAAACTAAAAAAGCAAGGCAAAATGAGGGAGAGAGACAATTTCGAAGACAAAACTTAAGAGGTGAAAGATTTTCACCAAAAGTAGCAGTTTTCTTTTTTGGAACAATGCCTAGACTATTCTTTTTCCAATCATTTTTGAGGTCTGAAAGTGGGGCACAAATACACCAAGTGCATCGAGTGTAATTACAGAATGAGAGATTGACAATTTAAATAAATTACCCGTTTGAAGTCGTACCATTAATTTGAAGAGACCAAACAAAACATTAACAAGGAAAACTGATAAACTAACAAAAACAAATATACGATTATTGGATCAATTCACAGACACAATAAAAACTTCACTAATGGCCTGAGAGGAGGCGGGCAGGGGAGCAAGAAAATGCGAGTATCGTTGAACAAGTGGAGCGCATACACACACACTTGACACACACACACACTTCCACAGAATTGCTGTGGAAATACAGGGATCACAATTGCAGATTTGTTTCTGATTATCCGCGGAGGAAAATAGGACTATATTCATGCGCAATCAAGGTTCCGTTTGTACACAAATTGCTTTCCGATGATACTGATGACCAGAAGTGTAATAAAAATAATTTCAATTGATTCTCTACAAAATAGATCGAGAAATGAAAAATTTGTGCCATTAACTTCCATACTATACACAAATTTGGAGAGGAACTACTTTTTTGCACTGTTGCACCGATTGGACAAGCGGCAACACCGTAATGCTGCAGGGTACGCGCGAAAATTCAAGTTTCATAAAATCATCAGAGACTGCGCACATAAAGCGAAGCCCAATTAACACTATAAAACTTTGTCATTAAATCAATTTTACTTGATAGTCCGATACGGACAAACAAAGAAAACTACAATCGAACGATAAGAGGATAGAGATTTGAGTGTAACATCACATTTAAGGAAATGTGAAAAAGACGAAGAAGTTGGTTAAATTAAAACTTTATCCTATTTTATTAAATGAAAACTTTGATCAGTTGAGGTAAAAAAAAAGTCCCTGTTCTGGACCTTCTACCCTCTTTGGAAGTAAAATATTTATTTCCTGAAAAGGGAAAAGATATCCATGATATTAGTAGGAAAACATATATTTTGGTATCAATAGTGAAAGTTGCAAAACACCTATCTTTCCTAGTTGGCAATGTTGTAGATTTCTGGTGGCTCTTGGATTTTTCAAAAGAAAAGCAACGACTATCAGTTTTTGGGATACTAATTTTCTTTCATTCTGGACGAATTTCAGACAAAAACATCTCTTGGTGTCTTTTAAAAACACAAAACAACAGTGGAAATTTTGAAATGAACTTGTTTTGCTACTTCTGCCACCAATACCTGTTTCCACTGATAGTGAGTTCCAAAATGTCTGTTTATACTACTTTTACTGAAGGAAAATTATTATTTTTTCACTGAATATTTTATCCTTGTTTTCAGATAGATGAAAAATTTAATGTCATGTAAAATTTAATGCAACAAATTAGGTACATAACAACTCAATATCCTGTTTAAAGGAAAATATCACAGAGAAGAGTAGGTATAGACACTGCACGTTAAGATACAGAACTTTTGGGCTTCATCATCAAAATTTTTCTAATATCAGAAAAGTAAAACAACCGATGGTATAATATTGGTTGGCTCCAGGAAATTAAAGCCAGTAAGTAAGTAGAAAAATTAAATTAGAATTTCGCGATGAAATTTTCAAAAATGTGTCAGTACAAAACTCAGAGAAGTAAGAAAAGTAGTTTCACTCGGAAGTTATAGTAAATAATTTTATGTTGTTACTTCCTTGGCGTTGATTTCCTTTGGTATGGTAGGACCCAGCAACAATACTATGCTTCCAGTTTTGGTATTTACTCATTGAGGTACCTTCATTTTCCTTTTTCTGTTTTATAAACATTTGTTTGTGCATGAATACTGAAGAATTTATCAAAGGGGCATCGTTTACTGGGGGAGGTTCAGTGGAGAGCTGTTAAAAGTCGCAAGAGTGCAAATTCTTTGGGTTCTCAAACAAGCTAAGAGTATGAATGGTTCCTATTTTTGTACTGAGCATTTGTTGATGTAAAAAGAAGACCATTGAATGCTATTTTCTTGAACATGGCCTGTGTTTTGCTCTGTGAGGATGAATTGGCAGAAAACTCACAGATCATACATATAGTTTTTTTTACAATAAATACAAAAAAGGCCATGCTTCATAATTATGGAAAAAATTAGAATATGGTATGAAAAATTTCTCATGAATACATCATTAAAATCTAATTAACGATTAGACCTGGTAAGTACATCAGAGAGAAATTAATCCACAATTTGAAAGAAATTGAGCAGAACTAGTCACACATTTTCTTTCAAAACTTGAAAATCATGGAAAATTATCTGGTTGGTGAAAATAGCGGCTGAAATGACTTGCACATCGACTCTTTGGGAGACATAAAACATACAATCTTTTTACTATGTTAAATGGACGGATTCAACCAAAGTAGCTTAACTACACCTAACGTTGTTTTCAAAGGGCTTCGACTACAGGGTTGAAATATTTCTGCATACAATACAACCAGATTTAAAAATCCTAACAATTTTGGCAATAAAAGTATTGGAATTTATTCAACTTTAAGTCACTGCTTCTATCCTCGAAAATTTTTGGGAGGCTGAAATTTTAAAAAGTGACTTTTGGCATGTAGTTCTATGAAATAACGAACTGGGGTGAGAATCTATTGATGGACGAAAAAGTCTTTTTTGAGACTACAACTTCAGAGATACATTAAGTTGGGTGCTACTTGTAACAATTGTAATTCAGAGGAAGAAATTTATAATTTTTATTACCACATCTCAAGATGGACAATGCCATGCGGAAGCTAGCAATTTTATCTCCTAATAGGAAAAAACTCTGCAACTTTAAAATAAAACAAGTATTTTTTAAAAATTAAGTTTTAATCAGACTATATACAAAATAACTTATGGTAAAAACATAAAATGGGTGTAATAAATTAGTGAAATGTAAGCACATCAAACAGGCACATGAAAAAAGAAAACCCTGTGAATAGCAAGCATTATCGCACTTCCAAACCATACTCTTTTGCAAGAAGACCGGCTATGACTAGTTTTTGTACATCTGTAACACCAGCATATATTTCTGTTATCCTGGCATCTCTGAAAAAGAGAGAAAAATACATGGTAAAAAATCATTTAAATGTAAGTTATCCCATCATTATCATATTCTATGAACATATTCGATGAATTTAATTGAATATTTCACTTCTGCATGTGCTAAAGTGCATGAGGTTGAAAAATGCTTGATGCACTTGATATTGCCTGATCCAAAACAGATTTTCCTGATGACTACAAATTTCTTGGTATTTCCGGTTTTTCAAGACAGCTGACACCCTGAAATACTTTGATGGAGAATTCGCATGCACTGTATATTTCAAAACTACTAATTGCTTCTGACATGAATTTTCACATGAAGACGAAGGGTTGCATCAAAAAGTCTATCAGTGTCTCAAGTGTGTCAGGTTAAGAAAAAGCTCAGGAAAGTTTTCAGGCCTTTGCTTTGTTCTGCCAGCTAAAGTTAACTGGTGGCTATCCGAAATCTGCGTAGCAATGGGCCATAAAGTATACATTAAGCATGCTAGTTCGAAGCGTTGAATGCCCGAAAACAATGGTAAATTTGTAGTATGAGTGTAATATGATACTAAAATAGTTGAAAATGGCTGGCAGTCGAAATTTTCCAAAGGAAGGATGAGTTTCCACCTACCCGATTACTATTTCCTTTTAACTTTCCCATAATTCAAGTTTGTACTGTTTATATTTTCTGCGCTCCCATCATCTCTTAGGGATCAAATTAATATTGCTAACACAGTGCCTACACCATGTGGTACAAAAAGTTCCAATTCATGGACACCTACTGAATCCATTTTTCTGGGAATAGAGAATCCTGGAGAAGATTCTATTACTTTCATTATTAAATTATTCAATGTCACAAACCAATTTCACTCTTGTTCAGGGTGTCTACTGAGGTCCACAAAAATAAAATAAGTACTTTTTCAGTACTTTTTAGGTACTGAAGGAAAAATTTAAGTACCTCACCTTGGGGAAAAATTAAGTACTTTTTAAGTACCTTTTCGATACATATCGCAATTCTTCGATTTTGGCACTGCTGCGCGCTTTACTTCGGCTATTCCCGTGGCCTTTTCGGCTGTTTCCGTCGAATCTAGGGAAATGCTTTATTCCGCTCCTCTACAACAACTGCACTCTTACGGGCTGACATTGCACTAATACGCCTGACGGACAACGCACAGAGGGTTGCATAACTATCAGGCAATTGAACTGAACGCGAAGCGCAAAATGCGAAAAATTACAGACCTTCCACGAGATTTACGTACTTTAAAGGTACTTATGGACCGACCTTCAAAAATGCGTACTTTTTCCGGACTTTCCGGACTGGTAGACACCCAGCTCGTTAAAACTAAAGCGGTTCTTCACATACCTGTAGTGTCTTTCTGCTGGCATATCTGTCACGTAACCCATTCCACCTAAGATCTGAATGGCATTGTGGGTAACAAAAGTGGCAGCTTCTGAAGAAGTATATTTAGCCATGGAAGAATACTGCACAGAGGAAATTAGATCCCATTAATTAATTTATGATTTCACTTAAATTACAAACAATTTTTTGCCCGGGAAGCAATGACAAGAAAGTTCCATTCCAAGGCTCTGATAATATTGTAAGAAAAAACATTTTCATTATTAGATAGATAATGGAAAACTTCAACTTCATAATACTGAAAATAAGTATGAAGAGGAGAATGCAACTATCAGCTTCACAGAACAGAATGAATCACCATTGATAACTTGTACCCACAAAAAATTGCTGGTTAGATACTATTGTTTCTGGGGTAATAAATTAATGAGCTTTAAATTAAGATTAACACTTGATACAATTCTTAATAAATTGTTTACCAATTTTCTGATCTCAACATTAGAGTAACAAGAGATAATGTAATTTCGGAAGCTATAACACTGTTTGTAAGTCCGATTCTAATTTTTGGCACTACTACCTCTGATTTCCTCTAGAAATAAAGTAGAGATTTCACTAGAAAAACTTTGTTAAAGTAAAAGAGTGACAAGGATGGTTTCAAAGTTAAAAAATCGTACTATAATCAGAACAAAAAGAGCTTGAAAATTATAGCCTTGATCTTTCAAGTTGAAGACAAGACAAAACTACAATAACATAATACAGGAAGGCAAAATACCTTTGTAAATCTGAGTCCGGCATCTCTCATTGCTGCAGCCTTCCACGTCATGAGTCTGGCGGCCTCCAAACGAGTGGTCATTTCTGCTAACCGTAGCTAAAAAAGGGAGAAGAAACATTATTTTTTTACAAGTGGAAGATAAATTCAAATATTACCTTAAGATTTAGAAAATTACATTTTTCTGGATGGAAAACCCAAGTCTTTACATTGAGGTTGCTGCGTTTTATTTTTTCAACTGTGACCGCCCATCAGGAGAGATTCTCATTATACAAATAATATAATCAGACTGCTCATTTAAATCCAACACAAGAGAAATTAGTTTACCTATGGAAATAAGTGTTTCTACAGGTGAGCCAGAGGTGTGATTATTTAATGCAAAATGTAGCCCAATAAAACACAAATTTCATTGGGAAATTTCCAATGGGCCACTGCCCAAGGTTTATATTAATGCACCACGTGCGATGCTTCCTCTTCAAAATTCCACAAAAAGAGCGATTCATGCAATAAGTTTGGATATCTGATCTTACTTGAGATATTAACATGTATACCTAATACTGTTCAAATAGAGCACAAATGATACAAATAACGCTATTTGTTTGTATTTTTATCATTTAACTGCAGTAAACAATAGATATAAATCTTTTTTCGAGTCAATTTCTAAACTTTCCATGGTGTAAATTATTTTTTCTGTAAAAATTTTGAACAAAGAATATGCAACAGAATGCTTACAGTATTATAGAGTTTTTGGTAATTATATGTGTGTTCGTTCACTTGAGTATCTAGAAAGTTGAATGAAAAATTACCTGTACTGCCTGAAGCTTCAAGATCGGCTTGTTGAAAGCGATCCTCTTATCTGCATAATCGATGGCGCAGTCAAGAGCTGCTTGAGCAATTCCCAACGCTTGGGAAGAAATTCCTATTCTTGCACTGTCTGTCAAAATAAAACCACATGTATCATACTATTTGCAGATAAACGTAAAAATAGAGAAAAATTAACCTGAGATTTTTCTGAAAGTAAAAGTAAATAAGGCAGATAGTCACCAAATAATTTTATGCAGTTTCTCAGTGCAACAGAAGGTACACAAGAATAAATTAGAAGTAAATAGAAGAATCAAGATGGAACCCTTTCTCGAGTGGAGCGATCTGCGCCAAAAATGTTTAGTGCATTTTCCGAAGGAGAAAAAAAATACAATACTTTAAGGTGAAAGGCTGAATTTTCACCTTGAGAGGATTTTGACTTCAATCACAACAATCGCTCATTGAGCCAAAAGTTTTAAAACCTTTGGTAAACATGAAAAAACATATGATCACCAGAGGACAAAAATTATTTGATTGAAACTGGAAACTTCAGCAACTTTATAGAAAGCTATTTTATTAGTAACGAGACCGCTGCTAGTAAAATGACTAAAAATACAAAATTTCATACCTAATGTCGCCAAAGCCATTTTGAAGCCTTCACCTTCTTTACCAACCAAATTTTCTAGCGGAATGCGCACATCTTCCATTATAATATTGCAAGTAGATGATGCTCTGATTCCTAATTTATCTTCTTTCTTTCCATGCGATAGACCTTCAAGGGCAAAAATTTGAATAATTTATTCATACATTGATACAGGCATTCATACTTGTATCCTTAAATGCTGTAAAACGTAAGAATATAAAAGGAGTGTTCAATGTGTAGGTCTCTCATAAAAACCACAAAAATTGAGCAATTCTAGTAATTTCAGTCCAAAAATTTTTCTTACGATTAACTGAGTCCAGGAATCAGGACTGCAGAAAGGGTCAGCTAAAATGCATCAGCATAAGAGCTCTAAGTGCCTATCGTGGTACATATCTTACCTGCCAAATCTGTAAACATTCATATCAGCGGCGTAAATCTGGAATTACAAATCTCGTTTACGGTGTCTGAAAATCTCCGCCTCTACGTTATTTTTTTATAAGAGAACAAATTGACATCATTCCTTGAAGTTTTCGCAGAATTTTCTTTGCACAAAGTAGAAAAATCACGGCAGTTTTAGAGAATTGTCGCTGAGTAGTTTCCCGTTTGAAAAATAAAGTATGACAGGAAGTCTGCAACGTCGCAAACCAAGTTAAGTGATTGCGGACTTACACCGTTAATACGCAACCCTAACTGTGTGCTTTAATGAAGTCGTTAAAATGAAAAATTTTCCCATGAACCAAAAAAATTCATGAACTGAGCATTTCTGACTATTACTCATGCAATGAAATGAAGCATGTCTCCCGATTTCATTATAGATATTTTTCAATGTCGGCAAAATTTATGAGGCCTCCGTTAATGTAGCATTTTCTTTCAGATCCAGAGAGTGAGACTCACGTATCTTTGAGAACTTGAGGCATTAGCAGCCACTCATTCTTCAATTGTTTAGCAATTTTGATCCTTTACTTGGAATATTCTAAGGAGGGTATTGAAAATAAGATCGATAAAATTATTATAATTGATCAATTTTTGTGGATATTATGAGAAAGATGAACTCATTTATATCATACACCTTGTATTCACGAAAATGCATACTTAAGATTTTTACTTAAAAAGTAATGAAGAGCCTTAAACTCACGACTATTTACACTTTGGGCTTGTTTCATCCATAGTTGGCAGATCAAAGTGCAGTTAAAAAGATAAATGAAACTAAGAATTGAAGAAATCAACGAGGACGGAAGCTGACAACAGAGTCAGTCTTTTTAAAAAACTTGGATACTTCATTTACCACTTTATGCTCTACCAAAGACTTTGCTTTTTGTCAAAACCAAACTCAGACCGAAAAATGCATATATGAAGAAAATGAATAATGAGTACTCTTATCATTGCACTATTTGGGCAAATTTATACTGAAGCAATGGTATAGTCACATGTAATGAAATTCAACTTAACCCTTTCCGGTCCAATGTCGGATATATACACCGTGAAAAATAACGCGTTTAGGTCCGATGTCGGATATAGTTGCCCAAAAGTTTGAACTTCTGTGCAGGCCCGATGTCGGGTATATTCGACTGCTCCAGCAAGTGGCGGCCTCTGGTGGAGCCTTTGGAAACCACTGTCTTTGTTGACAACATCGCTGCTACCTTAACCTCACTTAACGACGGCCGTGGAAAACTGCCGCGGACCGGAAAGGGTTAATTCAAAGGAAAACACTTACCCTCAGTCGGAATAGGGATGATGAAGGCAGAAATTCCAAGATGACCTTTTGATCGGTCACCATTTGCAAACACAACAACAGCTTTGCCTTCAATTCCACTTGTGACCCAGGCCTTGGTCCCATTCAATATCCAACAATCTTTCTCTTTTTTATAAGAGGCTAGCATGGATGCTGCATCACTTCCACTACCTGCAATAAAAAATTAGGTTTGAGCGGTATTCAGTAAGGAAATACGAGTAACCATCTGAATAACAGGTTGTTTGGGAATTCCTACTATCAGTAGTGAGGTGAGGAGCCATCGGCTTTCAGCGGTCACAAAGTGCCAAAATTGTTAGCCATTACAGGGAACAACGTGGAGAGATTTTCTGCAGCGGCTCACAGACAGATTTTACATATCAATGTCATTTTTAGCTTGCTTCACGATGTAAATATTTCAGCAAAATACAATTTCAAGGAACTTTCAGTAAAGTTTTTGCATGAGGCATGTAACGTTGGTTGGTTTCAACTTCGTAAAAAGTAAGTACCCAGCAATACTTTTGCAAGTACATATTATACAAGTAGGTAATGTAAAGTGTGATCAATCATGTATCAGAATTAGTTTAAGAATCATGCTAAGATATACAAGTACTACTACTAAAAAAAAAAAAATTAGATTGAAAGAAAAGCAAGTAAGTGGTGTCTCCAGTGAATGAAGGGAAATTGTAGCTTGTTTGTAATTAGGAGGAAAATGAGTTTAAAGGTAAGAAATTGCGTCAAAGCTTAGAATTGATCTTGAGATGTCAATTCTTCTTCAAAAGTTTACGAGGAAACGAATTACTATACCTCGATTTCAATAAAAATGCCACTTACCTCCTTCATTCAATAGGAACATCACTGAATAAAAAGCGACTCATAAATGAGGTGCAACTTATTCGTGCACAAAGTCGCTTCATTACCTGGTTCGCTGATAGCAAAGCAGCCGACATGGGTTCCATCGACATACTTTGGCAAGTATTTTTCTTTCTGCTCTTTTGATCCGTATTTATCTAAGAAATTTGCGTACAAAGTATTATGAACACTCATAATAACGCCTGTGCCTCCGCAGCCTCTGAGAAAGAAAGAAAGGATATTCTGAAAATGAAAGATAGTAAAGGGACGCAGGTGCACTCTTGAATTATGGGTTTATTTTAAGTGATGATCCTCTTTTCTTTTCTAGCCTATTTCTGCCATGGTTTTATTTTCAATATTAAAAATATAGCTGAAAAACATGTAATTTACTGGTTTTTGCACACTCCTTGTTGCTCATCCAGTTCACTCTGGTACAAAAAATCTCAAAAGTCGTAAAAATGTATGCCAAAATTTTACTGCTAGTTTCTTCTCTATCCGCCTACAGGTTTTTAGCCCTGTTGAATTCAGGTCTGGAGAATTGCACCTTGAAGTGCACTTCACTGTAGTTCCCATCAGTGATCGTTACAGTTGAACATAAAAAAATAAACCCAAATGTGAAACCCGAAACGTCCCGTCCAAATTACTTTTATTTACAGCCTGTACCCCGTGTTCCTCTCATCTCATTTACGTTTTTTGGGCTGATTATATTGTTACCTATAAAAAAATTAATAAATATTACAAAAACACACTCAAAAAATACGTGCATGACAGACATTTTTTCAATTTTTTCCATTAAATTTTTGTGAAAATAGTTGCATGAAAAAAGGTAGGCAAAAAAATTTGGTTAAAGTCAAAAATTTTTTTATGTTGATGTTAAACACACAGTAAAGGAGCAAAATGGCACCTTTACTGAAAATTCGTCTATCAGTTGAAGATTCGAGACAAAGAGAAAAGGAGAGCCGCAATATAAACTGCAGACCAAGTGGCACCCTCTATTTTAACAAGTTGTCTCTGATTAGCCAATCCGCCTGCTGGGTCTCTTATGGAAAATAACACAGGGTTCATTTTTTGTCGAAAATATCTCGAAAACAAAGAAACATTCATAAGTCAAAGCTTTCAGAAATCAATTGTTCAAATTTTTCTGAGGAGGTTTATGAGAAATGTATGACACTCTTTTCTTAAACACACCTGGAACCTCTGACCTGGAATTAGAAATATGACACTTGGTGTCATGAAAAAAAAAAATTCATACCTTGAAATTTCTTCGACTGCGATAGAAAGGGCCAGAGAATCCAGACCTGAACCACCATATTCTTCATTTACATTGACTCCCATTAGACCAAGCTCTCCCATTTTCTTTATCTGAGAACAGAGAGAGTGAGAGACTTACAGGGTTATTATTGTTGAATAAAACAAACAAAAATTAAATAAGTAATACTCGCACTAAAAATTCTGGATGATCAAAAGTAAACAGTTACGCAAAAGGGTCATAACTTTGTTATCCAGACTTTATTGATGACATGTGATTATGTGCATTTTATCAACAATTTTTTTAAACAGAAAATATACGGGAAATGACATGCCAATAACCCCTAAAAACTTAGACTAAAAAATGAAATGTTAAGCTGCAAAAAGACTAAACAGTTAAATATTTTTAAATTGAGTTTTTGATGGATTCTTTGAGGATAGGCAGATCAAAGTGCCAAGTTTGGCTAAAATACTCATGGTGTACAATTAGATTTTGTCTGTTAAGTTCTACTATAGTGAAGAATGGAAATAGAGAGTTCTGCGTTGTTTTTAACACATGGTACTCCCAAATGTTAATTAAATAAATGAGCATTAAACCATATTATCGAATAATATCTTAAAAAATGCAAGCTTTTTGTCTGTAATTAATGCAGAAAATGGCGATACTAGGCACTATTGCGGAGAAAGAGCATATCTGCTAAATTGTATATAACTTGCTTAAACCTTCGATCTTACTCCTGCAACCTAAATATTCTCTATCTCATACATCAATTTTGTTATCCTGACAGTAATATGAATTGATTTTTTTTTATAATGCAGGAGGATGTGACATGATAAAACTAGAAAATGACATTGTGCTTGAGGTTACAGCCAAAAGCTAATTGCTTAGCATAAAAGAAAGACACAGATCTTTCAGCAGAGAAAGTTTATGACGGTTTTCACTTCACACTAGCGCTTAGAAAAAATACACTCATGCTTCCTCTCAGAAAATGTGAACTTGTCCTATTATTTCTGACAACGCGACCAATGAAAATTAACTTCTCACCTGCTCAGCTGGATATTCATGGTTTTTGTCAAGTTTGGCAGCAATTGGCTTCAATTCAGTTTCAGCAAATTCTCTGCATGTTTTTTTCAGCATTTGATGAACTTCTGGTAAAACTCCAAGCGCCATGTGCCTGCTGCATACTCCTAGAAGACAGAAAGAAAGATGATCAAAAAAAGTTGTCAATAAATAAAAGAAATAATTTACTTTATAAAAAAGGTAATGCAAGAATACCTCTTGAAAGCTCAAAGAAAAGTAAATTTTTTTTACTTCATTGGTCCTCCTGTAAAAAGGAACCGAACAAAGAAAGGATTATGACAAATTTTGTTACCATTTTTTTTTTTTTAAATCATCGTTTATGTTCAAACAAAGTACATAATTCACAAGGAAAGAAAACTGCCAAGTACTACTAAAAAGACATGTACCTGTCTCCATCGCACAAAGCCAAATGATACATCTGAGCAGAGTATCTATTAACCAACAACTTGGATGACAAAAAAAGGGAAGGTGTTTTACGAAAAATTTTTTAGAGAATGAGTTTATGAGTTTCAACCTTTCTCTGAAAATGAAAAAAAGCTGGTGTAAAGAACCTCTAACATGAAAGATAAAGGTGTTGGATGTAGTGTCATAGCTATTGGAGCTTATTTTTGTGAAATAAAAATTCTCATCTCCGAAGATAAAAACTCAGGAGGAACGAATTCTCCTTCTTGAAGATGCTCTATTTGGAGTAGCATCAGTTGCAAATCAGAAAGGCAACTGCGTTGTGTTTTCCAGAGAATTTGATCCACCTCCAGCATAACGCAGCTTCCTAATTTTAGGCTTCAGGAGGCTGCGCTGCGCTGAGGGTGAGTGTACTTAGGTCCAAAACGCACCTGCAGTTGCCATGCTGATGGTCGTAACTAGTGTTGCTCCAAACAGTATGCTGCCGTGCTAAGGAAAAACGCTGTAGGAGCCTTCAGACGTTGCCAAATTTCCTTTGACAAGTCGCTGATTTACAGGAAATTTTTTTAATATTTTTCAGTCAATTTCTCACATAATTTTGTTTGTAATTTGATCAAAATTTCCTGAAAATTTCAAGGAAAAATATTTATAACTTTCCTCAAGAATAGACATTTTATTGGATAACATTTGGCAACTCTCGAATGTGCATATGGCGTTTTTCCTTGGCATGGCAGTATACCTCTAAGATGGTTTAACTCTAAATGAGTCTCTAAATTAACTCTAAATGAGTTTTTCCCCCTCTGAAATGAGAATTTCTGTTTCACAGAGACAAATGCTGACGGCTTTGATGTAATGTCAACAACTTTGTCTCTTCCTCTGAAAAGATCTTTCAAGATATCAGTGGCCTAAAAGTAAAATCATGTATCTCCACGGCGGAGTTTCAAAATTTCTGCTACTAATTTATTTTTTTGAAGAGAGACAAGCCAACTTCATAGCTAGAGATTGATACTGAACATATTCTTCTGACAGAGAAGAAAAATCAAGGGAGTTTTCAAAAGAAAAATGAAGTAAGGCAGGAAATCTGCAATGTCGCAAACAAAAATACGTGGTTTTGCACTTTAGTCCTTGACGTGCTGATATTCCAGCAGCAATGAACTAAAATTCTTTCAAATAATGAATGTAAAATGAACGTGAAACAACTAAACGTTGGGTGAGATACTTTTAATCAACTCATATCACACAAACCTTTCAAAGCACTACAATTATTCAGCAACAGATTCAATTTTGAATTTATCACAGACATACTGTAAAATTAAAACACCAATGAATGAAATTAAAATATGCCACAGAAGAGAAACCAGAAAAAACAATAATACAGGTGAAAAAGACTTTTCTGTATTCTGATCCAACCGTTTGGATTCTTAAGACCTTGATTTAAAAATGAAAAAAAACTGAGCAAGACATAAAAGCACTGATAAAAAACCAACGTAACTAAACTGAGGTGTTGTCTGGAATGATTTGCTGATTTCTGATTTGTAGTGAAAGCAGGCTGGGCCGCAGATAAGGAAAATTCTAGATAAGATATTGATGGTGTGAAAGAAAGAGTTACTGATTATGTAATAAAAATAGATACATTTGGAATCATCAAAAACAGGCATTACGCACATGGGTGAGGAATAAACATGATGATTACTTGCTTGAGATAATAAACACTGACAGAGATAACTGAAGAAAGAGATGGGGACTCTTCGCTAACTGTAAGTTGCTTTTAAAATTTTAGTTTCTGCCAAACATCAATCAAAGAAGGTAGGAGAAAACTACAAACTAAAACAGAAAAGCTAAAACAAAGATCAAACAAAAAACAAAAGACAATGAAAAAAATTTGAAGGATAAAACATGCATTAAAGTAGGTGGGTAATTTCTGCATATTAACATGCAATAAATCTCATGAATGTTGATAATGACTTTTGACAAGTCGAAATTCAAGAAGTAGTTCAATATAATTAGAGAGCGATAGTCTGAGTGCAACATTTTCAATAAATGAGGGGAGGCGGCAGCGAAGAAATATTACAATATCTGACTTACTTCAATTTAAAAATTAAATTTTTCTCCTAAATTGTCTTATCTTATAATTATAAAAGTGAAGACTCAATTGGACAGGAAATTTTCTAATTCCGTTCTGACAAGTGTTATTCTGTTGACGGTTACAAAAAAAAAAAAAAAAAGTGTTACTCTGTAGCAATTAACTTCATGCGGAAGAAGACATTTACAGAAATACTTCAGAAACTCATTCAAAAAACGTTACAAACTACATGAGCTACCACCAATAAATACGAAAAAAAATTTTACATGACTGCCATAAATTACCTTGCAGAATCATCTCTTTCAGGAGGGAATAAATTGTTTACTGCTGTCGGTAAATATGTCAAAATATATCAAAGTGCATGTGCTAATAACTCATGCAATATAAAGAAGATAAAGTATGGAGCACATTTTTCATCACTTGCAGAAATTAGAACACAAAGCTTATTACTATCTGCACAAATTTAAAATAAGAATTCCTTACTCCGAGCACCAGGCGCTTTAAATTTTCAACAGCACTTTCCCTATATTTTTTCTTTTTTCCAGTAATGAAATAGCTTGAACAACCTGAAAATAAATAAGACACAGAGTAATTATTATGAAAAATAACCATCCCGTTTTTTGGCTCCTGACATGACAGGGTCCTACAGGGATATTTATTCCGAGTTTCTAGGGGAATACTACTTCTCTGTAATCCTTCGATGTAAAATATCTTTTAAACCCCTGGTATTCTGCTTGAGCTCACACCAAATAAGTTTATGCACTTTTAGACTGCGACAGAATACCCACCATCTTGATTCTTGCACTTACTTCCAATGCTAAACTGACGTGACGTGACATTCTGCCGCAGTCTAGAAACGGTCAAACTTATTAGGCATGGATTTTAGTTTCATAAGAAATTTTATGGGTGGAGAATTTTTTTTCAGAATCATCAGAAGATTCTACAGACATTTTCATATTCTTATAACCCGAGAATAGAGGAACAGTTGAGGAAGCAATTTTCCTAGCTTTACGAGATAGAATTTTTAATCCAGTATCCTGCGATTTTTCCATCTAAACAAAATACATGATGTTTGACCAAAAATCATAGATTTGCCAGGTATTGATAGTTTTTGGTTCATCCACTCAATGTATTCTTAGAAGAGCATACAATCTTTTGTACTGCAATATTTACGATTTTGTGAAATGGTGATTGAGTGAAATTTATTTTTTTTGGGAGATGTTCTCTTTTTTTACAGAAAATTTATGAGAAGAAACAAAAGAAAAACCCGATGGTTTGTGGGAGGATCGATTCTGATGGTGATTTGGAGTTGCAGAGCGCTTTAGTGCGCTGAGGTAGCAGCTTGATATACATACAACAAAAGAAAAACTGTTTGTTTGTTATTTTCATGCCCAAATAAAAAGTCTTACCTCATGGAAGGACCAGATTGAATCAATTCTAGGCTTAATTTTACCATCACCCAGGAGTTTGAAAATGCTTTCCATGGAGTTCCGAATTAACTGTGGATTTTGGTCCATCAAGAGTCCCAGATGGAATCCTGAAATCGATCTACTCCCCATCACTAGACCCTGCATATCTGGAACTGTTGAGCTGCTCAAAGCTTCCCGTTCGGAAGAGGTGAATATTTCTGGGCCTGTAATTAAACTGCTGCAACCTGGAAAAAGTAACATTTTTTTTTATGTTTAATAGTTCTTAAATAATAGCAGTACTTAAAAAATTTCAAGGTAGTTGTTCAGCACTTTAGAGAACGATTCAGTGGTTGATCAATCAATTGATAATTTCTGACTTTCAAGATATCTCTGAAGAATTTCTAATCATCACACAATTGTGGTGCGTTGGGAATTTGCATACAAAATTTGAATAGGACACCCTTTAAAGTAACTCCAAAATTACAGTTCCAGTGAATATCACCCATCGTTCTGCCTTTCAACTAGCAATATTCACTCGGACCTTACTTTTGGAGTTATATCCTAATGTTACTTGGTCAAATTTTGTGCACTAACACCTGACGTACTACGATGTACTACAGTGTGATAAGTAATGCTTGGAAATTCTGCAGAATTGTCCTAAAATCCAGAAATGATTAATTGATTGAACAACTGTTGAATAACTCTCCAAAGAACTGTACTTTCTTAATTTTGAGTAATATTTTCTTGATCTTGAATAACATTTCCTTAATATTAAGAAAAAAAAGTGAAGATTAAAGTATTAGAGCTGAATTTTAGGCATTTATGGTCATTTTTTTCAGCAAAACACACTGTAAATAATTTGTATTAAAAAAGACCAAAGCTTTCATTTTTCCGGAAAAAATCACTTTAATACTTCAATAATTGTCCATAGATTTTAACGTTAATAGGTACTGTCCACAAAATTGGAACATATTTGACGGAAAAACTTCATTTAAATCAAAAGAATTTTGAAAAATTATGATAACTCTCACAAAAAAACCTACAATGTCTTTGCATGAACAAAAACCATCATCTTAGAAATCATCAATGAAAACATTCAAATATGGAAAAATTACGTACCAGTTAAAACAGCATGTCCTAGGGGTTTCAGTAATTTTTGAGAAATGGAAAAATTTGATCCGCCGATGCTATCAATGATGCAATCAACTTCACCTTCAGACTGACTGATAATAGTGGCATAGTTTTCATACGTTAAGGGTCGGTTCACACCGTTTTCAACAACCATTTTGAATTTTGACTCACTTGCTGTGCCCAAGATAGTTACATTAGAAAATAATTTGGCTAATTGCGTGGCTGCCCATCCAACTCCACCTGAAAAGTCACAGATTGAGTTATTTCCTCTAGTATTAATCTTGAGAAAACAAGGCATGAGAGTGATTGTCAAACCTTTTTTTTCCAAATAAATTAAAAAAAATAAGTTAAAGAACGCGATCAAGAATTTTGGAAGAGCCTGAGCCATAATAGGCTTCAAATTAGAACCAACATAATCAATGTTAGTTTGGCCGAACTATCTGAGTAAATCAGCACACAATACAAGTATTTCCACCCAAAGCAGATACAGTACACCATGGTAATTTTATGTGATATTTTTGTTATATGAAGGTATTTTCTTACTGTCTGGACCCCTTTCAGAGACGGAACGTTTCAGGGATCCTGATTAATTGAGGGGATCATCAATATGTTTCACCTGATAATCACTGACAGGTCCATTAGTTTTTTAGTTTTTTTTTTTCCACCTCATAATGACTTTTGAATGCTAGAAAGAGCCATTTCCTCTAGAAGTTTGTCAAACTTAGTTTTTCTAGCTGCAATAATTGCTCGTCACAGAGATTGCTCAAAATCTTAGTTTCATTTATCATCTGCCTAAAAGCAGCATTTATATCAAAAATACCTTTAGCACCGAAAAGATCTTTTGATACAGGTTTCCAGAACACGTGTCTAAATGAGCTGCAAGACTGTTAGTTTTCTTTTTAACTTAAGCTAGGATAACGTTGGCATACCTGCACATGAGTGAATCAGAACGGACTGATCGGCTTGCAGTTTTGCAATTTTAAACAACGTAATATAAGCAGTAAGATAATTTGCTGGTAAAGTAGCAGCATCTTCGTCTGAAATATTTGGTGGAATGACGAAGCAATTCTTCATATCAATATTAATGAATTCACTGTAAAGTCCACCGGTCCATTTGTAGCAAACAACACGGTCTCCAGCCTTTAAAATTATACAGAAAAAAAATATCAGAGGTTATTTATCACATAATCTATAATTCTAAGAAATAGGGCAGCAGTAAAGAATTTTTGCAGGCTTGCAGTATAGTATTTCCTGCGTAAAAAAGAATAGTTTCAAAGGGAAGAAAAAACTAATAGAAAAATCAAAAGCAAACAGTTGAATTGTCAAAACAAGCCATGCCTGAGGCTGTGCACAACCGATCAGTAAGTGCCGTTTCTCCCGCCTGCAGTCTGATCGTTGGAATTTATGTCAGCATATTAAGACACCAAAAATTGATATGTTACACGAAGATATAACTTTGTTTTGTCTTAGAATCTTGTTGACAAACCAAGAGAAAATTTTAGTAATCAGGCTGCTGGCTAAATGATCAAAGCCTGCCAAGAATATCATTTCAAACGGGCCCCATTTTTGGCATTTTCAAAACGAGGTTTCTTCGCAATTTAGAGATAAAAAAAAAAAATCTGAAGAATTCCGAGAAGCTTAGTTTGTTCGGTGCTCCCAGAAAATGAATTTAAAAAAAAAAAAATAGAGTCACTGACCCATTTTGAGGAGCATTAGTTTCATGTTTCTACGAGACTCATTAGTTTCTTAGTACTTCTTCTTTCTTAGTACTTAGTTCTTATTAGTACTCATTAAACTTGTTGACATACCATTCTCAATTACAAAATCAGCATTTGGAGTGTCTTGTCCTCCAGGGCCCTCAATTCTTCACTGGCTCTTTTTTTAAAATAATGTCAGCCTACTTTTTGAAATAAGTACCGTCATGCCTGATATATTTTTGAGACCTCTCTTGCCATTTCTACATAATTGTCTTCTGCACTGCTTCCTTACAGATCTTTCTTTGTCAGATAAATTACATTTTTCTGTACTGGCCCAAGTAATTTGAAATCATGAAATTTATAGGAGCGTAATCAGGGTGCTGAATTCACCTTGACGTCTTTGACACCAGCTCCGACTTCAAGTACTCGGCCCACACTCTCCAAACCTAAAGTGAGCGGGAGAGGAAACTCAAACAGTCCTTTCAGGGTATACAGATCTGCGAAGTTGACACCAAAGAGTTTGTTCTGCACTTTGACTTCGTTCATCCCCAATGCGGATGGCAAGGTGACATTTTGAACCTAAAAACATAAATATCAATTAGGAGGTTGCAGAAGAGAATCTACAAGATAAATACACATTTTAGTTGTTGTAAGGCCTTTTTGGTTGGTAGAAACGCACAAAGAAACGCCAATTTCAATCCTCCTAACATAAAATGTTTTCAGCAGTTGCACATGCTTGGCTATCTGCAGAGTTGAGCTGTGCGTTTGGAAGAAATAACCAGGGGATTACTCACTTGAATTTTGTCAAAGCCCCCATACCCTGTGAGGCAAATTGACTTGGAGGTTTCCAAATGATGTTCATTCATATTTCGTTCTTCGGTTTCGGCGGTGAACTTGGTAATCAGCAACAAGAGTCTGTCCAATCTAAGCTGACAATACAACTATATTGATGTTACTCGAAGATCTAAGAGATGGACTAGAAAAAACGGATTTACTTGTTAGAAAGAAACGCAGATGCATTAGGTAACACTAGAGTTCCTATACACTGGTAACACGAGTCAATACCATCCACGAGTACATAAACGTGGAGGAAAGAAAGTGAAAAGCATGGAGCGCGTGAGAAAATTGTGAAAACACATTTTGTCTCTTTCTTGAAATCTTGATAAGAGAATGTAAACAAACTCAAAGGCGCATGCGCAGACGATAGCATTATTCTTGGCGGGAAACGACCGCGGTGGGTGAAGCGGGAAATTTAGATTTGCGGGCTCCTCAATACTAGCGCGTGGGTCGGTTTGTTGAGCAGAACAGCAGGGCCGGATTAAGGGGGTGGCCACATGGGCCGCGGCCCATGGCGGCAAATTTAGGGGGCGGCAAATTTTGCAATTTTTTTAAATGTTGCTATAAAGAAAAATCGGATTTAGAAAAAAAAATTACGAACGAGAAAAGGTGACATTTCTCATTTCCTGAGAGTATATCTCTAGGTAATTTTGTCGTCCTAGAAACCTAACACGGAATTTGGCCTAGAGCGGCGCGGCGCAGAGAGCAATGATGACGAGAACGATGAAAAAAAGGAACCCTCAGTGCGGCGCGGCGGTCGGCATGTAACACATATTAGCGCCTACAAGACTGCATGAATACTTCACGCATTGCGCCAAAAACAGTGCGGTCGCTGCGGTCAGAAGCGGGCAGCGTGAAATGCATAGCGCCTACAAGACTGCATGAATACTTCACGCATTGCGTCAAACACAGTGCGTGCAGCAGCAGTCGGCCCGAAACGCATAGCGCACGTATTAGACTGTAGGAATACTCCACGCATTGCGCCAAACACAGTGCGGTCAGCGCGGCGCGGCGGTGGAAGTTATAATTATTAAACCACATTTGTGTTTGTTTTTTCATAATTTTTTTGTTCATTTCTTATAAATGGAGGGCCTTGTCCATACAGAGATAGGTTTACGGAACTTAACTTTCGCGCCAAGTTCCGTGAAATTTTGCTAGTAGTGTTGACAGGGCTTTCGCAAAAAATGTGTCCAACACGAGTAAACGCGTCTTATACACCTCTCCCCCTCCGACACGTTCACTTGATGGTTTTTATTGATGTTTCTAAACGAATGAGAAGGGGGCGACAAAATACAGGCGGCCTATGGGCGGCAAGTAAGTAAATCCGGCTCTGGAGCAGAATGGCATTATCATTTTAATTTATACTTAAAAACAATTTAGAATTTAAAAATGAAATTATGCATGGAAGTTTGTAGATTCAGCATATCGGACTGGCTACATACCTTCCCAGAAAACTGTCACACTGTTAATTGAAAGAGTTTTCGAAGCAATACCTAATATTGTAGGAAGACGCGAAAACCTCAGAAAGATTTTTTAAAATGTTCTCAAATACTCCCTCATCAAGTACAGAGAGCTCTGAAAATTTCAAAAAATAACTGAATTAATTTTTCTGTTGAAAAGAATTATAATAATAAAACAATGAAAAATAAAAAAAAAAAGTTTTTTTAAATGTGACGGACACTAGTTTTTACTTTTGTCATCTGTTTACTCGGTTAGCATAAAAATATGCTAAAGCACAGTTTACTGCTGTGGGTTTACTGCCAGCGATGCAGGTAAAAAACCAATGAAAACATTTCTAAATCTTCGTTGGAACAGGAGCCTCATATCGTAAGATCAGACCACTCAATGTACACACGTGAGTGCGCCTTCATTTCCGTCTGATACTGTGCAATACTCCAGAGGCTGAATAGTTGCTCAGAGCGCCTTCGACAGTATCGCTTCGACTAAATGGCGGAAGACTGGCGACAAAATTCCACTCTAGCGTGCGCAGTTACATGTTTCCTCTTCAGCAACGGTGAGGTAAACACATTCATACCTGAATTTGCGACGTTGCAAGTTTTTCACCGCCTATTTTATGTGGTTGAACCAATATGAACGCTTTGAAATTTGCCGCTATTAATTCGAGAATTGATGCAAAATGTTATTTTACTATTTCGTTCAAATCTGTATCCTACAAGCTTTTTTGTTAAGCTTACCTCATCGCTTGTGCTGAATGCTTCTACCGAGCGCTGTTTCTATTCTTTACCAGTGTTCTGCCTTCGTCGGGTGCCACGCGCCAAATGCGCCTCGAGGCGCCATCGGGCCTTGGCACCTAAAAGTTGTGGGNGGGGGGGGGGGGGGGCGCTCGGCCAACGTGGCGCCTAAAAGATTTGACAGAATCGGGAAGCAGCGGTAGCGATGAAGCGCCCTCTATACGCGCCGTTCGCAGCGCAGCCCGAGAGCTTTTCATTTACCATGGCCCGTGTGCAAAAATGTAATTTGGCTCCTAAAATATGGTAGATGGCCCCCAAAAACTGGGCTTTCCAGCCAAAGTGGCTCCTATAATTTTAGGGGGAAGGCAGAACACTGTTCTTTATCCACTCCCGAATTGTGAGCCTTTTCTCGGTATTAAAAATGTCATGAACTTGGAAAAAAAGTCTACGAGTGGCTATTAAAGCGATCAAAAATTCAAGCAGTTAAGAAAATAGGTTCCTCGATATTCTCGCTTTTTGTGTAGGTGCAAACGCACGGTGAAGTGGACTTTTAGCGGTAATCGTTCTTTTCTTTCTGCTAACAAGTCGAAGCGATACTGTCGAAGGCGCTCTGAGCAACTATTCAGCCTCTGGAGTATTGCACAGCATCAGACGGAAATGAAGGCGCACTCACGTGTGTAACTTGAGTGGTAGTGTTTACTACTGTGTAGAGTCCTACTGATAGTATGATATGTGGCTTCTGTTTCAAGAAAGATTTAAAAGTGTTTTTATTGGTTTATTTACCTGCATCCATGGTAGTAAACCCAAAGCATTAAGTTGTGCTTTAGCATATTTTTATGCTAACCGAGTAAACAAATGACTAAAGCAAAAACCAGTGTCCGTGATATTTAAAAATTTCTTTTTTTGTATGTTTCATTATTTTATTATTATAATTCTTTCCAGCAGAAAAACTAATTCAGTTATTTTTTTAAATTTTCATAGTGATCTGCACTGGACAAGGGAAAAGAAAAAAATCGAAGGAATAAGAGGTAGCCTAATTTGTAGGTCAGTGCTATGTTTCGGCCGTCTAGGGAAATGTTGTTAAAAAAAGGGTATGTTTGTAAGAATTGAGCTGTACATCAACAGACTGTATGAGTTATTGTTAGAAAAAAATGGAATTCAAAATTGTCTCACTTGCAAATAAAATAGATATTTAATTTAATAATAAAGCATAGCGATGTGATCTAGTAGCTTTTAAATTCATTTAGTTTCACGCATGTATACATCGATAGAGAAAAATCACAAACTTCAAAGAGTAGCAAAGAACTAGAAATAATGATGGGAGTTTTGCCTTAACTTGAGCTACGGCTGTGTCAGGTAGCTTCTCGGAGAATCTCGTGAGACACTTTATTTATAGAACATTGTGTTTTTATCATGCCAAACACTTGAAAGTCCCTCCAACTTGCCGCCCAGTCACATAAAACGATCGTTCGCGGTCTGTACGTAGTGGTTCTTGGTGATTAATTTATTAACACTTCCGAGCATCGTTGATTTTTCAAGTAAGTCAACTTGATATTATTGTCTCTTGGAAAACTAATGCAAAAGTGAGTTAAAGGAAATGTACTTGTGGCTTACTTTATTTCCCACGAAGGTTAAGTGAGCATCGCAATGATATCCAGTGTTTGACAATTTAACAGCTCTCAAACCTCAGATGTCAACAAACAAATCAAGAACACATAAATGATGAAATTACCAAACCGCAGATTTCGAGTGCTGTGTTGGAAAATTTCCGATCACATTTCAGTTTCTCAGAAGAATACTGATAGAACTTATTCAATAGGTAAGTATAGGCATTACGAGTATTTTTAAAGAATGAGGAAAATTTAAATGTTTAGAGGTAAAACGATGATTAGGCCTTCTCTAAAAAAGTAAATGGTGACGAGATTTTTGACGTCGCAAAGTGAAATGCGTGGTTCTGTGCTTTCGCCCAAAAAATTTGTCTGTTATGATGAGCCCTCAGATCCATAAGAATGCATGAATGACAGGGTTCATGTCACAATGGATGTGGCTTCTGCGTCCAATTTCGGTTTAAGGAGGAAAAGTTTCATTCTATAGTGATACACTGAAAAAAAAAAAAAAAAAAAAAACATTGGATCTAGAGTCCAGACTCTTGAAAACATTGACAAGAAAAAATACTCTCGATTCAATCAGATTTAAGCTTAAATCAAAAAGAAATCCGCTCAAATTAAGAGGCTTGGTTCTTGATTTAAGCAAAAATCCGATTGAATCAAGAGTATTTTTTCTTGTCGATGTTTTTTTATACTACCTATTCAAAAATGAATTAGCCAGAAAAGGCTCTATCAGAGGCTCTCATTGTGAGGAATCTCGTAGTGTATTGTCGGATACGTCGAAAACTTGGTGTCGTGCACCGCTCTCCCGTGATAAGGAAAAACGCCGTATGAACCTTCAGACGTTACCAAATTCTTTTGATAAAACAAGAATCCCCCGGTAAACTTATGAATATTTTTCTTCCAGTTTTTCAGATAATATTGTTCGTAATTTCACATAAAGTTCCTGAAAAGTTCAAGGAAAAATGTTCATAACTTTCCTAAAAAACAAACATTTTATCGAAGGAAATTTGGCAACTCTCGAAGTTAATACGGCCTTCGCCCTTAGCACGGCAATGATATCGCAATGGATCGTCTCTGAGCAACGAACTATACACTGGAAAAAAAAAAAAAAAACACATTGGATCTAGAGTCCAGACTTTTGAAAACATCGACAAGAAAAAACACTCTTGATTCAATCGGATATTTGCTTAAATCAAGAACCAAGCCTCTTAATTTGAGCGGATTTCCTTTTGATTTAAGCTTAAATCTGATGGAATCGAGAGTATTTTTCCTTGTCAATGTTTTCAAGAGTCTGGACTCTAGATCCAATGTGTTTTTTTCCCCACTGTATCACTGTAGAGTGAAACTTCTCTTCCTTAAACCGAAATTGGACGCAGAAGCCACATCCATTGTGACATGAACCCTGTCATGCATGCATTCTTATGGATCTCAGGGCTCATGCCGGAATGGATATGGCTCCTTTTAATTTACACGTCCAGTTGAAATTGCTTTTTACTATTACGTGCTCTACACGTGAAAATTCTGCATGTGAAACTAGAAAAAGTGGTTTTCCATCTTATTAGTTCGCTGCAATGAAAATACGTGTCACATAGCATCTCAGAAAATGTTTTCACGACTTAGTGAATGCCATTTGTTGGTTTATCTTTGATAGAACTCCTTCCACACCACCTTAGAGAAACCCTCTTCAAAATAATCAGTTAACCGTCACCGAGACTCAGTTGACTTTAATGAATCTTTGTTTTGGTGATGGCTAACTCAAAATTTTGAATAGGGAAAGACCATTGCAAAAACATGATTTCTCAGGAGGTAAGTTCTGTGGCGCGTTGTTCCTTTCTTTATAGTGGTTGAACTTCCCCTTTAGGCCTACTGATCCACTGCCGAACTACAAAAGAAAAAGAAACAGAGAGGAATGAAGGAGTTTTACGTATCCTCCCACCCATACAAATGGACCATCTTTTTTTTTTTTTTTTTCGCCAGAAGGGCCGAGGGTTTCTTTTACCGCCCTCTAACTTGCACCATACCGGGTCCTGGTTATGGATTCAGCCGTCATCGGAAAGCGATGGCCGCCGGCCGACTGAACGAAGTGCCGAAACACCACTGCATCCTTCGAACCAAAGCTACGGTATCGTACGCCCCCTGTTCTAAAACTGGGCGTTAGAATATTTAAAATTCCTAGACCCACTCTCTGTTTGGGAGGGGAGGGGGCCGAAAGAAAGAGAGAAAATTAATCGGAAAAAAAAAAAAAATTGAAAACAAAACTACTGAAGTGAGATCACTTCAAGCAAGGGAGGGCAAAAAAAACTACTGAAGTGAGATCACTTCAAGCAAGGGAGGGCATGGGGACTTTACTGAGAACGTGAATTTACTGTAACTTACGTCGTTCTTTCCTCCTTGTTGTTTTGCAAGCGAAAATAAACAAAAAAACCACCACCAAAATGCGTTAGGAGGCAAAAAGACAAGAAGGAAAGAAAGACTACAAAATAAAATAAACCTGCGAAAAGAAAAGTAATTAATTACATGCTTCACCTAAAGGAAATAATACAATACAAAAAAAATCAGAATTAACAATCAAAACAACATGCGACACGCAAATGAATTAAAACTACAGAGAAAAAGACACGAAAAGAAAGAGAAGACACCAGACGAAACGAGCAGCGCGCGACACTAAACAACATGAAACACAAACAACATAAAACACAAACAACACAAAACACATAAAGCAAAAAACAATCATTAAAAACATACAAAGCAACATGCGACACGCTAATGAATTGAAACGAAAGAGAGAGAAGAAGAAAAAGAAAGTAGCGGGCCACACACAATAACACACCATAACACACCACACCCTCACCAACAACCACAACACATTTCAGCAACATATAACATCCACACGTAAACATACACAACATACTGGTAAACATACACAATGCAAACATAACATACATGTACACAAAACATTCAATTGAAAAATAATATAGAAATAAAAAATAATATAGAAAAAAAGACATACAAAAAAAAAAAAAAAAAAAAAAAAAAAACCTGCAAACGAAGCGCGCGCGAGAGCGCACCAGACGGAACTGACCACCACGATGGCCAGCACTTGTATTTATAAGCTCCAGGTGTGGCGGTTAGCAAGGGGGTGAAATCTGACGTCATGATGCTCAAAGGAACATTCGAGAACATTGTAAGTGCCTGCAGCTGAATTCACACCATCAATATTTTAGTGATTATCTCAAGCAGGGCATGCAATATCACAATGTAAAAACTGTTATGTGGGCCACCAAAAATTGACGAAAATGGTGTAATGTGACGTCATTGTTGGATTTTAAACTGCGTGACCTTGAGATATTAACCAGAATCTTGATAAGTGACAACGACTTATGTTGGTCAGCATAGTTGAAGGAACATGGAAACGGACTGCCTCCACTACAGCAATGCATTGTGGGGGAACACTCGTGAGGCCCTCGTACACTGTCAATAACGGACAAACTGAATTAGTCATCGATGACCCGAAATCACATCAATGGCCAATCCAGTAAGCTCCAAGTGTCATCGATAACATCTGAGTTTGATCGAATTGTAAATATATGGTAATAAAATTTAGAGTCCTAGACGTATTTCTATCAAACGGAACTATGTGCATTATGACATGAGCCTTGAGACCCATAAGAATATGTGCATAGCAGGGCTCACGTCATAATGCACATAGTTCCGTGTCATAGAAATACGTCCGATTGCTCCACCTTGCCCGAAAAGGTCGGTGGCCGTGGACGTTCACTTGGACTTGGGGCAAATATTTTAACTCCACGCAAATCAAATTGCATATTCAACAAGATGAAGGAGCCAAGAATAATTGCGATGTTCGGCAGCCGAGTAGCTGAAGTAAGGGTGCCTCACGGCTTGTTCTCGACCTGGGTTAGAAGTCCGCTACTATCTCGATACATTATTTTAGCATCCTGTTGTCGGGATTGCATACCCGACAAAATGAAGGGATTTTTAGAGATTGTAGCGATCTGCGTCTATTCAGCCAAATTAGAGTACCCAACCACGGAAATCGGTACAATCATTCAACGCACTCACGATTTTACGAGCGTGCATATTTTTGGAGACTTAAACGCGGAGTTAGAAAAGTAGATAAATGCGTAAAAATTTCGATGATAGTCTTTACCAGACCCAAATGATTGACAGCAGCAATTGACCTACACTTTTCTATTTCATTAAACCTTTCTGCACCTTCAACCCCCGCCCAAGAATCCCCCTCCCCTCTTTTTCCACCCCTAGTGTAGCACAGTGAAAAAAACGTATTTAATTAGAATAACGCATTTTGCATGATATTCATGATCAGAAATTCATAAAAGAAAAGTCTCGCCTTTACTTGCTTGTGGTTTTGTTTTTTGCTCGGATCATTTCGATTTCCCCCATTTGAACCATATCCGGAACAAGCTTTCCCGATTTTGACATATCTATGGACCGAGGGGCTTCAGGATTTTATTAGGAACTACAATTACTACCTCATTCACAAAATCACTTATGTGCATAGAGAATCAAATGGTACATGCGTTGTTTCTATACTTAGCGAGGAATTGTAGTTCCTAATTGCAAAATGTGGTCCATTCAGTTAGAGTCCCTTTGTGCTTTGATTGAAGACAGTGCGAATCAATTTCTGATTGGTTCCGGAACTGGTTAAGGAATCCGCGTTTCTGAATCAACTGAGCATCAATTAAATTTCGTTTATTCACATTGTACCTGTCTCTATCCCAAATTTTATATTACGACCAATCTCGTGCTTTATTAACATTTACGTTCCGCAATACATTGAAACAATATTGAGCCTCGTGTTTAGAGTCCCGCCATAGGGAGAGTATGGACAACTCGAAAATTTGGAAGTAAGGTTTGATCAGGTCATGTAGCTCTTGAGGCTCAAAAAGGCAGCCAACCTATGAATGCGCTGTCGGCCCTATTGATTAATCTTTCAAATGCATAGGTTGGCAGCGGCACTTTTCTAGTGATTTTCGTTTTTCACGTTGTCGCCTTTTTGAGCCCTAAGAGCTACATACATAGGGTGTCCCAAAAGTACCGGGACTGGTTCTGTAACTTCGAAAGTAAAATAGATACAGACATGATCTTGGTTTCATTTTAAAGATTAACTCAATACCTATCGATTAAAACCAAGATCAGCTCAATCGGATAAAAATTGACCGAGTTATGG